ATACCTTCCCCTACGGGTCCATGTATCCAAATAGTATAGACTTCGGGCCCAGTGTACCTTTATGGGGAGCACTTCAAGGCAAAAGTATGTGTTATTTTGGTAGTTGTCAACACCAGGGTCCCTTTGGGAGTCCTCATAATACTACGGCACCTAATATTTAAGGTACCCCCAAAAAGGGACCATAATTTTGTCAACCACCCATTTGGGTACATGGACCCTTAGGGATAGCTTCGAAAACCCGTGATCCTCTCGCCTCTCGAAAGAATAGGACTGTAAAGGGAACTCCAGAAAGTTGGAATATAGTTTCAGGGTAGGATACCCTATAATTTACCATAAAGGGTTTAGGATAATCATATTCCAACTTTCTGGCTTCTACTGTAAGCATTGAGAAAAATTGTAGCTCATAGCTTTCTTTTGCTTTACCCAGAGCTTTCTTTTGCTTTACCCAGACGGTCCAAGTACTCCCTATTATAGGACTTTCGGGCCATTTTAGGTACCAATAACCATAAATAGGAACTACTTGGACCCTTAGGCCCTTAGGGTTAGGGTTCAGAACAGTTCTGACTCATAGCTTAGGACTTTCATGACTTGGGGTCTGAGATCAGTACTACTTTATTGCAGTACTTAAGCATTGGTTTAAGGTTCACCCCAAGGGTCCAAACGGTTGATGATATAAATCCTGCATTACCCATAATAAGGAATATGCCAGAGTTCCCATAGTTTAGGGCCATTAAGGTAATGCAGGATTTATATCATCAACCGAAGCACCCAATAATCAGGTACTCGGGTTTGGGATAGTAGCTATGTAGGTTACTATTTCGGAGAATATCTGAGAATTAGGTACTTGGAACCGTTAGTTTAGGATTAAGGTTTAGGGCTCAGGGCTATTATGAGAACCCAATCGGCAAGCCGAATGCTGGAGCAGCAAGTGAAAAAGTGCAACCCTGTCTGGACTTGTCCGTGTTAGACTCTAGAACCTGGGACTCAGGTTGTATTGGTGATGTTTGTTGAGGGGGGGACTCTTGTATGTGATACTATAATATACTATACTATACTATAAGATACTATCATATACTATAATATACTAACGTAATCCGCACGTGTCTCGTCCGAGCCGTTGGTACAAGCTTGATTATGTTCCGACTGCAGGCTTTTACCCTAAGGGTCCATGTACCAAAATAGTATTATATACTTTGCCCAATGCACCTATATAGGGAGTACTTTATAAGCCCAAAGTATATACTAGTTGGGTACATGGACCCTTAATGTAATAGTCTTAGTGCATCAGCTTCTTCAGGGAGTCCCTCGCCTCGGGTTTTCAGATTTCGTTTTGCAAGCACCAATGCACGACTCCGTGCATCGTAGGTGTCATAGTGGCCACCCTAGCGCCGGTGCCCACGGTTGTCATGGTGCCCACTCTGCTTGAGACCAGTGCATGGCGAAAGTAAGCTTTTTTGGCCAAGGGCAGGGTCAAGCCTTCAGAGTTTCAGTTTGCAATCCTCTACCGTTGTAGGATCCGCGACGAAGAGGGGAGTAACGGCAGTACCCAGCTAAAATCGTAGGATTTTAGGGTCCAAGTTCCATACTCTGAATGGTTTTTGGTAGATGAAACCCCGATATCGGGTACTTGGACCCTTGGGCGATTAGAGGCTAAACTGCTGCAGTGAAACCGAGAATCCTAACCCCCAGAACCTCAACAGTCCAAACCCAAGAAACCCACTGGGGTTTCGGATGGTTGTGTGTATGCACATAAATCCTAACGTCCTAAGGGCCACACAATCAACCCTAACCTCTAAACCCACCTAAATCGTCACGAGACTCTAAATACTAAACACCTAAGCATCTAAACCTCAATCCCTAAACCCGGAAACGCTAAACAACTAAACCTTAAAGACGTACACTCGAAAAACCGAAACCCAGAATCCGGAATACCGCAGTGCGGGCTCCTGCTCCGTCGTCGCGAGCTCGGCATCAAAGTCCAAAGCCACATAACCAAGCTTCTCCTTGTCATACTTGGAAATGCCCGCCAAAACCGAAACCCTAAACCCCTAAAGCCTACCAGCACCCCCCATCTACCCTCTACCATTCCCTAAAAAACTACTATTATGGATCATAAGGGCTCCATTAGAGGGCCCTTGAAAAGGCGGGGGGGGGGGTTCTTGAAGATCACTGTATTCGCCAAGCGTCTCCTTCTGACTCAGAAGCCCAAGTTGTGGCTCAGGGCCGTAGTGTGCTTCACGAACCCCCTGTACAGGGGCCCTTATCATTAGGATAGGGTTTTAGGGCCCATTAGACTATAACTACTATAACAATGAACCCGAACCCTTCAGCATTCTGTAGGATTTGTTTGCAGAGTCGTATGAAAATCCTGCTGGCTTAAAGGTTCACCTGCAGGAAATGATAGCTAGATGAGGGCAATTATATATCTTAAACTATGTTACAAATCGGGACTCTGAGGGGATATTAACGCGAAGACTACTGCGAACGAGTCCAGGCAACCTTGTAGATTCCATGAAGTTTTCGTCACGCAAGGAATCACGGCCTAGATCTTGCAGTTTGGTAAAGGCTCGGCAATTGCAGGGTTTTCAATTGTAGGGCTCTTGGGGCTTAGGATTTCGGGTGCAGGGTCGTCAGGTTTTGAGTTTCAGGGTCCTTTAGGTGTAGTGTTCAGGGTTCAGGATTAAGGGCTTGAGGTTTTGAATCTTTGGCTTGGCATTAAGGGTTTAAGCTTGACGGTTTACGGTTTAAGGTATCGGCGGTAAGGTTTGGGCTTCAGGGTTAATGGTTCATGGCTTGTGCTTGACTGTCCTTGATGTCGTCCGCAATGACGCGATCTTGAGTGCGCTGGAAGTAATAGCCACGGTCGGTCAACAACCTTACCGGTTGAGCTGCCAGAAAGGATTGCCCTAATATAGGCCATCATACTACAACTATGATAAGGAACCCCCCAAAATAATTAGTGTTAGAAAATGTTAAGGCCCCTACTTCAAGCCAAAACCCCTATACTGCATGGTCCAGTGTCTCGAAAGACAATGTGTAATGCAGTTCACGAATGTTCACGATGTTGCCTGGACCAGTGGTGAGCTCATTTGGACCCAAGATGGAGATTCGATTGGAGCTTGGTAGCCTTTCTGTCAAATGGCGCACCTTCCTAACTTTGTACGACATGTTCGTGCTACCGCCTCGAAAACTCCACGCCATGGTTAAAAAAATCCGATAAAAGCTTAAACTGACTCTTGTTGGTTTAGCTTGTTGGTGTAGCTTGGAGGTGTAATGTAAAGGCCTGAGCAATTATTGCAGTCCAAGTGTATACAGCTACCCGAAACACTTTCTAGCAAAACACTGTTCTAGTTGCTAAGCTCGTATATGCTCCGATGTTCCCGCCTAAACCGTACTTACACAGTCCCTCTGCAACCAGGTCGTGCGGGGCCCAAGCGGTGATTGCATTCAGATTGAATGGAATACATGCTTTGGGGGAGCCTAGGATTGTGGGATCTAAAGATTCGGTTTTGTGGTATTTGGGACAGCGGCAATTCACGAGAAGGGTGGTGAGGAGACGATCGGTGCTCGGAAGATATGATCGGAGTATGCAAGAGTTAGGGTATCAGGGACCACCTTGCTTATCATACCCGACTTGGTCGCAGACCAGACCATCTGAGGGTTGCCAGGATCGAAAATGGTTGCCCTGCTGCCAGAAGATGGCACTCGCGCTCAGCTCTGATGCAATCAACAACGCCATCCCCACTGTTAGCTAAGAGACACTCAAAACTGCCACAGCCACAAATCCAAACACCCTCAACCGTAAACCCTGAACCTCTAAAACCTCCAAACCCTGAACCCTCAACCCTAAACCTCTAAATCCTCAGCCCTACACGCTAAACCTCCAAACCTCTAAACTCTAAACCCTAAATCCTAAACCTGACAAGCCCGACAACTTGAAACTGCAGGTCCGACCCGAAGAGAGTTTCGATGCTTGGACGCCAAAACCCTTAAGGGTCCATGTACCCAAATACTATATACTTTAGCCTTAAAGTACTCCCTATATAGGTACATTGGGCCCAAAGTATATACTATTTGGGTACATGGACCCTTAGGGAAAGTTCTTAACTTAATTACTCCCAAACGGTTCTCTAATTAGGGTCCTATTTTCCGTCCCTAACTTGCCGAGCTGTCTCTTAGACCGAGAAAGTTTAACTTTTTATAAGGATTTCCTATGACATAGATGCAAATCTGCGTGCCACTCCTTTTTTACAGCCGCCTGACACTGGAGAGCTTCGCAAACAATCCGACGAGTGAAATCTGATGAGGAGAGGTCGCCTCTTCCTCACAGACCACTTCAAAAGTCAACCTCGGATGTTTGGGTGACTCTGGAAATGGCGTGTCAGACAAAACATGCAAGCCCTTCTTCGACGGTCTTGACTCTGACACTGCAGTCAGAAGGGCCTTGCATTCCAAAGGGAATGCCCGGCGAAAGCTGGCACTGAGGTAGAAGTAAAAATGACTCTGCAAAGCTGTGCCGAAGCTGATGCACTGACCTTTGGTCATTTTCGTCCTCGCCCATTCCATGTCCGCCAGTCTGCACCCGTGAAGGCGAGCCAGAAGCCCGGTGCTGGCATACAAAGAAGACTCAAAAGCCCCGTCTGCCACCAAGATCACATCGCTCATGGAAGCAGCTTCGACAAGTTGGTAACGATGCCAAACGGGAACTTTGACACTGGAGTTTGCGGGCCACACTTTCACCAATCGTCCCAGTACTGGCGCAGGGAGGGCGTCGATGGCTGCAGCAGGCGGTGGCTTCTGCCGATACACTCCTCCCTGACCGTCCATGTAAGGAACAACCTCTCCAGGTTGAAGGGATTTGACAACTTGAATCTGCTTCTCCTGGACTTTCTGAGCATTCTGCAAGACTTGCTCCGTGCGCGTTCTTTTCCTTAAGTTTCATGAGGAACACCCGGAAAGATCGGTTGTTATTATTATCGACAAGAGCGACACATAACAAGTTAACTGCTCATGCAGGGAAGCCTCGAGGAGGAGCTTTGACCCTGAGGCTCTTCATCAACAGTTGGCTCTGACTTTCGCTTTGTGGAAGTCCGTGCTGCTGCCACGTCTGCCAGAGCATCGACGACCGAGTCAAGGTCACTGTGATGACTCTGACCTTTGGCGACGATGTCCTGGATGGCCTTCGTGTGCTTTTGACGCTCCCCTTCCAAGGTCACTTGGGCCTCAGAGGTGGGCTTCTGCACACGACCCAGCGGCGGCGGAGCACTAGAGCGGGTAGCCGCGCAATCCAAAGCTCGTGACGCCAGCTGCCTATCACCAAAGAACTCGCGATAAGCTTGCTGAGCATGGACTGCAAACTTTGACGCTCGATATTGCACGTTTTTCTCCGATGACGCTGCCGGGCCGAGCACGAGTTCATCAGTATTGAAAGAGCCTCCAAGTCGGCGTCCTTGGAAAGTCTGTGTGTTAAGCTTCAAGGACGACTCCAATATCTCGTTCCCGAGCGCACGGGCACGATGCTTGAGCTCAATGAGGCGTACTTCTCCGAGAAAACGCTCCACGTTTTGAGTCCCGGTGAGGATCGCAAGCGATTTCTGGATGACCCTGACCGCCAAAGGACGAGCAGACCGTTGCCGTGGATCCAAGCTTTGCAAGGTCTGCATCCATGCCACGGTGGTGTTCCCGAACCGTTGCCTCAGGGCACCCACTGACTCTGACTTGTTCTTGGCCAGTGGGTTGTCGAAGTAGTGCATGGCCCGGGCGAAGAGGCCCATGGATGGACCTTCGCCGTCCACTTTTCCAACCAGCTGCTTCCTTCGCAAACGAATCTTCAAGACAGTCACATCCCACGCTATTTATTGCTTAGGGTTTAGGGTTTAGGGGGATACAAACAATCGGTGTTGTGATGTTAGTGAACTAGGATCCCTTTAAATCTTTAAAGGTGATGGTCTAAACCTACCAGGGCACCAGAGCTCATCTGCCGACATGCTCTCAGTGAGGGCAATGGTTCCCAGCATGACTCTGCGTTGAGGCCAACTCAGCACCCCATCCAAACGAAACAACGCGAATGCATTCACCTCCTCATAGTTTGGGAACTGTGTGGCGAAGAATGCTTGAAACAAGCTGTAGATCTGCTCTGTGATCGGCCGAAGGTCCTCCACCTGACCCTGAGGAATTGCAAAAGGAACCTCTGAACGACCCTGTAGGTAAGTCAGATGGCCGAGTCTAGCCAAGTTCTTCAAGGTCAAGGCCGTCAGTGTGGCACCAGTGGCGTCATGAAGAATGGCTTGATCTTTGAAGAGAATCTTGACCTCACGCAGAACATCCTGCACCTGTCACGGAACACTCTGAATCTGAATATGACCCTGTAATTATTCAGCCCTGCTTTTTCAACATGCGCCTCAGTGGCCTTGAAATACACTTCGGTCGCGGCCTCATCATCCTTCCTGATAAATTTCTGGCTCAACATTAGTGCGTCGCCAGCCAACGCGGCAGTCATGATTCGCAGCCACGAACCGGGCCCTGACACTGCTGACAGCAGTTGGATGGCCCACTTGCAATCAGCTTGGTCACCCTTACGCGTCATCCTTACTCTCAGAGCACGAACACAATCAAAATAGGCACTGCAACGCGGCAACGCTCGACCTACACCCACTTGCCGAGGAGCTCAGTGAGAAATCGCAGCACATCTGGAAGCAAATGGAACAACTTGAAAAGGGGGTCTGACAATGAGTTGAAGCGCTGGAGCGCGAATGAAAAGTTTTTCAATGCCTTGGTGAATTTGACACCGTTGCTGATCTGGGTCTCCTGAAATATTTGGGAGTACTTGCTGGAGTTCCTTGGTTGACGCAAGCAAGATGAAGAGCAAAGGGTTCAAGACATGAACCATGCTGTTTGCAAGCCGAGCTTCTGCAACATTCTGCTGATAGATTGCTCGTCAGTTGTAAACAACCCAAGTAGTCCTTGACACTGCTCGTTCAGGGGACCCCATATGCCTTTTGTAATAGATCTGGCTCTGTGAGCGCGATCTCTGGAAACCATGGTCGCATTGTGAAAAAGGTCGCGCTGAAGAAGAGGAACTGCAGCTTGCTCGGATGGGCCACCGTCACACACCAGGCAAGTGATGATGGCCTGCAAAGACTAGCAGCAACTAGCTTTAACTCTGACGTGACACTGACAGATACTCCCGCGACATGAATGGTAACAAGCCTTCATGTGTTCGTAAAGGTCTGAATCCAGACTGTCCTCTGGACCAGAGGCCTTACCATCTTCGCGACGTCCTCTTCGAATCGTGCATGCATTTTCCAGAATGACTCTGATACTCTGGGCACTTGCTTGGGCGCCCGTACCAGTGACACGTACGGTACCTAAGATGGCTTCATATATGCCGGATCGTGGAAGATAAGAGTTGCCATTGAGATCCTGGTACCAGAAACGTCCAATAAGGAGCATCAGCCCGTCTCTGACGTCGTAGGCGATTGACCCTATCACAGCCTGCCAGGGAAGACATGTCTTGGTGAGCCTTGATGCTGGAATCATGCGGGATTTGTCGGGGAGGTTCCTAGCATACTGATGGCTCGCGGGCCTTTCGGAACACGGCTTGATCTTGTTGGTAAAGCGGTCGCCCCAGAGCCAAAACTATTTTCTTTGCAGTTTGAGACGACATGTCGGAGTGCGACCCTTGTTGCAGCACTGCACCTGACACTGATAGAGCCTTGACGTACTCGTGGTAATCAGTGAAAGAGTCTCTTCTGGCAATGATTTGTCCAGCCAACACAAACTTCTCTAATCGTGGGCACACGTCACTCTGACCGGTGACCTGCCCTGATGCGGGATCCTCTGGAGACTTTAGTTTGGCATCTAAGTCCTTCAGTGCGGCCAAATGGGAAGGCGACTGCGCATGCTTGCTGAAAGCGCTGGGCCCCATCGTTTCTTTCGTGTTGACACTGAGTCGCGAAAACGATGATGAGTACTTCTGCGGATGATGGGCACAGACCCAACACCCGATCCCAAATCCACCAGGGAATGTTCGTGGCTTGACCGCCAGCCAGCACTTCTCACCCAACTCAGGGTGTCTGAAAGTGAATTTGTTGCGCCATGCCAGTGTCTCATTTTCCAAAGCCAGCGCAGACGTACCCCTCCGTAGTTGCCCACGAAAGCCATTTTCAAAAAAGCAGCGGGGACACTCAGCATCCTGACACTGCTTCCAGTGGTCCAGATCGGACTCATATGAACCTTGTGGCCCCCGACTTGGAGGAGGGATTGACACGGATAAACAAGATCGGCTGTCACGAGCCCAGCTGCTAGGCTCAGCCAAAGCTGCCACAGCATCATCATCACCCATGTCTGCAAAGATGCTGTTATGTTTAGAATGCCGGAGTGTATCTGAAAGCGAATGGATTCTTACACACCTACGGGTTTATGCGGATTAATGCTTGCGTCGGAATGGACGATGTCTTTTTTCAACAAAATTAGCAATGAGCCTGAATGGCTCATGGTCGGCCAATCTTCGGCAAACCTGGCAGTCAATTTGCGACAGTCAATTGAACAACTGCTGCAGACTGTATGTTTCGCATTTTTTGACAGGCTGAGAGCACATGCCTAGGCAGTTCCTTGCCCACAAAGTTTAAAACGCAGCCCCTTCCGGACCCTGACCCTCTAGGCGAGGCTTTTAGCTTGCGATCTGGCTTCTACGAGTTGGACATGCTGCAGGGCAAAACTGGAAGAAGGACTGCTTCACGCGATGCCGCATTGATCTTGGATTTAGATCTCGGGCTCCTCTTCGGAAGCTGACAACACTTCAGCTTGTCGTTCTTGCTGCTTGGCAGCAATGGGCGACCCTGCAGTTGTCGATGCATCGGCGCTGGACGAGGTTTCAGTAGAGGAAGATGACACTGACTTGGCATTGGAATCTCCACCCAAAGAGGCTGCTTTTGTGAGCCTGCGAAGCTTGCGCGCCGGAAACCCTGAATTGGGGACGCCGCTCATGATGTCAACAAGCTGGGCGAGGACCACCTGGGCTGAGGCTGAAGAAACTTTCTACTTTCATATTGTCAACCAGCAGAGTAGAGCAAATGCTGCTTGAGCCGCTGTCTCGAGGATAAGATCGGCCTGGAGCTGCTTGGAGGGGAAGCACACGTACTTCAAGCCTTTGCGAGCAGCAGCGGTGGCCGCAACTCCTGACCCTGGAGTCAAGTCCACCATGACGGTCTCCATGTTCGTGTCGTGGTGGGACAAACACCAATGCAGCTCTGACCACAATGCTTCCGGTGCCTCCCAGGGGAACAAAGGCACTGCTGGCATCGTTGTTGCATCCGTTGCGTCCTCCTGCGGGTCTTGACTCTGACCGGCCACTTCTTCCCCACCCGATGCCTTGCCCAAGATCAGATCCTTGACCTCTTGCGAGACTTGGTTCAGTTCAAGGTCACGCGGTTGCCTAAGTGACAGCTGGCCCCAACCGCGCGACCCATTATCGCCGGGGAGGTCTATGACTTGACGCTCTCGGTGCGGAAGTGCTTTCCAGCGGTTTGACCCTGTGAGGATGTAGAGCGATTCGAGAGGGTCCGGCAAATTGGGATTCATGGCACCGTGACTCTTTCGACTCCTGAAATGGCCTCCAGCTCCAAATTCACGATTCGTGTGCATCAGTCGCAATGTGCAGGATCCCCTTGCAGGTAGAATTTTGTTCTCCGTGCCTTTCTTGATTACGGATCTGATATGATTCGCATGTGTTGCCACACGACCGTCGAAAAGGAGAAGGAGATCATGGTCCGGCCGGAAGGGGCCGCCTTCTTCAAAGAGACCGGCCGAAACCTGTTCGAAGAAGCTCTTCTCCATCACAGGCAGGTGGCGGTAGTCGTTGACCCTGTTATTTCGTTTCGGGTCACAAATAAACATGAAGCTGGCATTCTTGTAGTCCTTGTAGACGGCCAGGATTTGCTCAGTAATGTCGCCACGAATGCGCAGGTCGATGTTCCTCTCAGCACCTAAGTCAAGTGACTCTCAACTATAGAAGCTAGGGTAACCTCTGTGTCTGCAGTGCGGCTGCGGCCGCATCATGGACTTGCTGGACGCGCAGACTCTTTTAGCCACCGTCTGCACCGAAAGACGCAGAAACGAATGAGAGCCGGCCGCGAGAGACAGTTTGAAAAGGCTTGGTTTTCAAGATGCATCTTGGCACTGGCTCTCAGTCCCGGCTTACCAGCTGGCCTAGAGCCGCAAAGCAAGGAATCAGGACTACGGCAAGTGTAGTCGATGCCATGGAATTACCGATAAGGTTCTTGCATTGCCCAAGTGTCAGACCTGCAAAGTTATAGTCTGACAGGCCTTGCATCGACATCAGCTCTTCTGGGAGGATTTCACGATGACGCTCAAAAGACCACAACCTGCTGGAAGTGGCGAGTGTGGGGATCATGCCGTGCACAAAAACATGGCCGCGCTCTGTGCTTTGGCCCACCTGGGCTGCATGATGCAGAGGCTTAGTCACGGCTACATCCAATTGCAGCAATGTGGAATGCTGGCAAGTGGCGTCGGCAATTCCATGGCCATGGAGGGGCTCCTCTTCCATTGTCAGGTTGTCTGCAACCTGATGGTATACATCGACTTGACTCTGCATCCATGCCGTGGCATCGCTGCAGTGTTTCGACTCTGCATGCTCGGCCACTTTCTGATTCGTAGCAATCTGTCCATATTGACGCTTGAGGGCCCTCTCCCTTGCCCTGGCCAGGCAACTTGTGTAGGCGGCCTTGCCCTGCAACTTGCTCTGCTCGTCTGACTCTGGAGCCGACAGAACCTTCCCCGCATAGGGGCTCATCTCTGGCTTCTCGAACAGAAAAGTCTCCACGTGATGTCGTGGCATGAGCTTGGCTGCCTCGCTGCACTTTTCAACCATGTCTGCAATCTTCTTGAGGTCGCCGCCTCTGGTGCCAATGAAGTAAACTCGTGGGCGCACTGATGGCAGGACATAACTCTCCAGGTTGAAGTGCTGCCACTCATAGCCCTCAATGTCGTTCAACTGTTTCATGACCACTGACAAAACAGTTTCATCTGAACCGGCCTTCTTGACACAGTTAATGCCAGAAACATTTTCCAGCACAGCGATATTCGGCGCTGCCGATCGAATAAATTTGACGCATGCCTCAAACGACTTGAAGTGCTTTGACTCTGTGACATCATGTGTAAAGCGACCAGTGTTCAGCTGCGAGTTGGCTTTGCATATAAAGCCAGCGACATAGAGGTTGACACTCTTGGCAGCTGGAATGCAGCACCTCGCTGAATGCAAATAGCACCAAGAGGTCTGCCCGGGATTGAACTTTTTGTCGTGGCAATCACGGAACAGATGCTTTGGTCGGTCATTGACCGCTATCGCATAGGCCGCAGCGGGATCGATGTCACAGGACATCTCGTGAATCAACGGTGCTGTAGCACCTTCAAGGTTTAAGCTTTAGCCTTAAATTGTCACTGCGGTACTAATTGTGGGCCAAGGCACCCAAAATTGCTCTTGACACCATGGTTGGCATACCTGACCTTGGCTGGCGAACTTGACAGGCTCACTGGTTGAATCCATGTTGAAACAACGCTGAACTGAAGCTAGGTCGCCCTGAGTGCGTTGTGGCCATGCATACTGGAGGTAGGCTAACCGAAACCATCAAGCGAAGAGTTGCCAGCATCTGGTTGATGAAGTTTTCGAGGGAAAACGGTGTCATAGTCATTGCCTTGAAGCTGTCGACCCTGCTCTTAGTCTTGGTTTTCAGCGATGCTGACGGTTTCTTCATCGCTGTCTTCGTCGTTTTTTTCTTTGGTGCCATGGCTGACTTTGGAACGGGACGGGCTGCCCCTATCTGATGCAAGGCCTGTGCAAAAGCACCTGCGGTAAGCACTTTCTCTTAAATCAAGTGCCCAAGAAGATGCCACACAATCCCGGCAGCAGAAAACTTCTGACATGTTCTGAACTGAAGAATGAGGACCCGACAAGCACGAGCATGCTCCAGACTCTGTTCGAACGTCGCCAAGGTCACCTTCTGGAACAAGTCCTCGGCCCATGCCGGAATGATTGCAGCACTGAAAAACGATGCTCGCGAGCGTGGCTGCTCCACAGGACCTGCACCATCCGTCGTGACCTCCGGGATCTCGTCCTTGAGCGGCGTGTCTGGCACTGACTCTGCTTCTGCAGCTGCTTCTGGCTTGGTTGCCAACGCCGCTGCCGTTTCAGTCTGATTCAGCTGAGTCTGCATCGGCTCCAAGGGGTCCAGGAGCACCTCCAAGTTGATTATCTCCTTCTCGACCCAGACCTGACTCTGCATAATCAGCTCGGCTGGCTGTAGCCAGTTCGTTGCAATCGCAGTCGACAATATGTCATGGATCACAATGTTGCCTTCCATGGCCGTCTTGATGAAGGTCGCCGCTTGGACTTCGGCAGGACTACACCTGCTCAAGAACAGCTTCCGAGCCTCCTGATTGTCTCTGAATTCAATGAAGTTCTTGTACGTGCCAAAGGCGTCGCAAAGCCTGACACTGTCATTGCCTCCATCCCTCACATGGGCAGCGCGGGCCATCTTGTTGGAGATATACTGGACCACGCGCCGCAATGCCAGCTCCACCGATGTGTGCTGAAGGACAATGTCCTTACTATCTCAGTATCGTCATGACTGCGCGCGGCTGTGACATACTTATATTGCAGACCAGCGGCCCGGGAGGCGGTTGGCGCGAGGACTTTCAAGGTGCCGTTGTTCGAAGATGTGACTCTGACATGAAGGCCGGCAACCACCCAGGTCAGCAAGGCATCTTCCAGCAACTTATTCTTGCTGACGGCCGTCTTCTCACACACGGCGGTCAGTGTCGAAGTGTTTGAGAAGAAATGCTCGTCGAACAGGCTGTCCATGTCTTCCAAGACGGCCAATGTATCCTGCCCTGCACTGCGCATGCGATCATACACTCGCAAAAGTGTGTTGAGTGTCTTTGGAGCCATCGACACCTTGGCTTTCTTAAGCCAGGCGCTGATGGCTTCTCCGTTGCCCGCCTGGCCTCGAGACTTCAGCTCCTCTCGGATAGCTGCATATCCGCAGATGCGTTTCCATCCCCGCAGGGTCTGACTCTTTGCCAGATCACTCGCGCCTTGGTCCAAGGTCCATTTCATGCGGTGGGCCTCCTCATCAGTCTGACAAAGGTGAAATTTCACCTTGACTCTGCGAAGTGCCTCGCGGCACATCGTGATTCGTTTGGCATCCGTCTTCTGGATGCATGAAGCAAAGAACTTCAAAAAGCCCAGCCACAGGACATCATTTCCCAAAACTTGCAAAGTGGCTTTCTGGGGGGGAGTCACACCGTCCAAGGCCCGCAGAGAAACAGAGTACGGCCAAATCAAGATTGAATCATCCGTCTCTGACACCGACTCCTCAAACTGTTTCTCAGCACGCTCCAGCTGTCCACAAGAAGGTGGGAAGGCATGGCAAAAGCAGTACTCCTTGAACATGTCGCCCGTCAGTGTGCATTCATACTGCTTGACGTGCGCCAGGGAAGACCTATACTCATCCAAGCCGAAAGCCGAAAGGCCCCCAAAGCCAATTCCTCCCTCGATGGATTTGAGGTAGGGAGCTGTGACCCTGTAGATATCCTGCTGCATTGCATGGGACGGTCAAGAACGTGGCATCACAAGCGAGCAGGAACCTTGCTTATCTTACTACCAGAGTCCTTCAGCATCTTCACAGTGGGGTGCATGCTCAGCTCGGACGGCTCAGGGGCTTCGTCAGGGCCCTTGCTGACTCGGCGACGCTTCGTCGTCTCAGTCATGATGAGTCAGCAGTAGCAGGCCCGAGTGGAAAACTAAAAGCCCAAAAGCAACAGGTCTGAAATGTGTTGTTGCTGGCACTGCAAAGGTGAGGCCATGGACACGGCTTCATGACACCATGCAATCTGACACTCCGACTGTCGCGAGCATTCTTTTGCCCACCGAAAGCCCGGCCCTTGGAAGTGATCACTGGTTGAGAATGGCCAGTGTGGACAACCATACCGCCAACAAGGTGGGCGCAGTTGTCATGGAAGCCTCGAAAAAAAGATAAGTCACGTCTCAAACACACACACACACACACACACCCTCGTGACAGACTGGAGATACTCACATTGCAGCTTTGAGGCCATCACAGTGCGGCGTGAGTGCAAAGGCAAGAAGCATGTGGACAAAGTTGGTACCCCTGACTCTGAATCTGAGCATGGGGACCTGGCGGGGAATCCAAAAGCCGAGATGATCTCTTCATCTTGAAGCCAGCGAACACTGTAGCGGCCCGCATCATCTCGCCTGCCAACGAGTACCTGCGAAGAGACTTTGAGCGGAGGCAACGTAATCCTTGGCACTGTCACCTTATTCGGCATCGACCCTGCGTCCATGAAATAATTGGTCGCTGCATTGCCGGATTTGTTTTCAAAGAAACATCCAAAGATGTACACGGCTGCAAGGGCAGCTGTCGGTTTAGCAGCTTTAGCAAGTAGGTGCTTGACATCCCCTATTGGCAAGTGAGCTTTGTCCAGTGTCCACCCTGGCGCCATCACATGCTCCGTCATCAGAGGAACCTCAGGAAGATCCTGGATGACTGACTCTGGCCGATCAGCCGGATCTGCAATGCGCTTGCGCTGGTCCTCATGTGCAGCGGTGGCATCTACACAAAAAGCTAAGTAAATCCCTTCACATCAACCCCGCCTTGGAAAGCAAGAACCAATCTGCTTGTGTTATAGCATTATTCACCTTCTGCACAATCTTGGTAGCCAACTCTGAGATCTGTGACACTGCAGCCTTCGAATGATCTGTGGGGAGGATGAGAGACCACGTGTTGGAGTTTACCTGAAGGATGTAACTGTAGCTGGAAAGGGCAAGTGGAATGATGGCATACCCGATCTTCTCATACTCCACAGCAAAAGCCTCTGCATCCTCCAGGCCGTGCTCCAACAAGGCAAACCTTCGAGGCATCGACTGAAAACACTAAGCAACCGCACCACAAGGACACACGGATCCACACTCATCAAAGGCACCTTGGCTTGAAAGAGTAGAGATGACGACGAACTTGTTCGTGATGATCCTTGGCGCGAGCCTTGGGTCCAGACAAGTGAAAGAGGCCACCTAGGCACGGTGACTCTGGAATCGTCAGCATCTTGCCCGTGTCCAGGCACACCTTCATGGAAGTGAGGTCCAGGCATCGATAATGGACAGCGCTTGACACTGCAGTCTTCCGAGTGTGGTAGTGCACCCTACTGATATCAAAACGTTCTTCACCCTGAGACTCGAAGAACTTGAGAGGTGGCAAATTGTATTTGCTCAATGCGGCTGCCAGAATAGGAAGTGCGCATACGGAAGCAGTGTTGAAGCCGATCATCGCATTCTCCTGTGCAGATCCGGAAGTGAACGCACGTCAAGAGTTGGATTAAGTCCCCCGACTCCAAAGCCACCCCAGCATTAATACTAAACATGAGCTGTGACATCAACGTCTCCTTGGCAGGCCACCGATCCCCCAACACTTCCACCGCACACTCGCACGCAATGCTGCTGGCACATCGCTCATGAGAGTCTGCACTCATGCTGGAGTCGGACTAGGGGATCACTACTGGGACGGTTCAAAACTGGAGAATCAAGCGTGTGGGACAACACGTGTTTCCAGATCTCAACGCGTAAGAGCACTCACTGAAAGCACATGCCCTTATGCGTCGGCCACGCGTGGCCGACGCATAAGGGTCTCGCAAACGGGTAGCGTGCGATGCATTTTGACAGCCTTCGCAAAAACGAGCTATGTTGAAAAGCGCCACACGCTGAGCAGCACCCGGGGTCCTTATGCGTCGGCCACGCGTGGCCGACGCATAAGGGCAGCTCCTGCGGGCAGAGCTTCTTATGTGTTGAAGTCTTGTTTGTTAAGGCGATGCTATATGCACATGTCATGGGGCTCTACGCCGGAAATGGCATGGCAAGAATTGCCTTTCTGAGTTTTAATTGTAGCAGACATGCAATCCGATGAACCTGAAGTTAAATAATTGACTCTGAATGTCGGCAAACCCAAAAGGGCTGTGTCCCGGTCCTCGAAACATAATAGTGTCCCAGCCAGCGCCGAGGAAAGGGCCTGCAACAGGGCTTGCAGTGCTTTGGTATGAGAGCTGCACCGAACCTTAATTTCAGTCAGATCAGGCATCAACTCTCGCGAAGACTTGTTCATGTCGTGCGAGCACACTGCCATTCTTTTACCCCGACTTGGTCCGTGATGGTACGTTCTGCAGCAGTGTCACGAGGCGAAGATCAAATCGATGTCAAATGTTGGAGCTACTATTTTAATACTGATGAGGTATTCGGACTCGAGCCTCTGACACTGATCGGCAACTTCCCCTGTGATTCGGTCTATCCCAGTTTATAGACTCTGACGAATCTAGAAGCAAAGGCTTCGCCTCTGGCAGCACGGTTCAAAAGCACGAAAGATCCCTGAGGCTGACTTCGTTCTGCAACTCGTTGGAAAAGGGGAGCTGCATGATCAGCATGCTTTCCATAGCCTTTTGTTTCTTCATATTGACCTTGCAAAACTTGTACCACGCTTCTCGTTGAGCTTCGTTGTCCACATCGCCCCGCAATGCGATCGACACCCCAATCAGAGTGACCACATCTGTATCTATTGGACGTTTGACACGCCCAAATCTTGCCACAATGGCCTGGGCTGAAGCAAGAAAATTGTGCGATGCGACTCTGCCAACCAGCTGGACCAGAACGGGGTGCACATTCTCGGCTACATCGGCCCACCCCGAAAAATCCATGGGCCCTGGTTTTACCAACCAAGGTGTCGGATCTGCTTGACTCTGGGCCTGTGATGTTCCCTTGATTCCAGTGCACGCCTCTGCCTGCACATTGTGACTCTGCTCTTCTTGGCTACCAGATGCCATTTCCGAGTCTAGCCCGTGCTTTGCAGCCACCGCCACATCTCCTGCCGGTGTTGACTCTGTGAGCTCTGGCTTGCCCTCAGGACACGCAGGGAACTTGCCCTTGAACCTGACCCTGGGCCAGCGTCTGTTGATGCCGCGACGGCAATCTTTGCAGTCGTGGCACCAGTTCCGCGGAGGTCTCCTGAACGTTCGGTTTTTGCAACCGTCACCGAGACACCGCCAGCCTGCCATGGCGCTACTTCAAGCTGCAAAGCCGTACACCTGCAAAGGCTAGCAACTCACACACACACAAAGAACCACACACACACACACACATACAAACTTAGACCGTGCAAGAAGACACCTGTCCATACCCGAAGCCCTACCACATCAGGATGCTACACCAATCCACAAAAACTACAAACTGATCGATGAAAAGCGGCAGGAGAATGTGACGTCGGTACCCGGCCTTTGCCTTCGGTGTGACACTGTTGCCAGCAGACACGGCTGCCTGCATCAGGTCACTAGGTCTCAAGACTTGTCTCCGGACATCAGCAGCAGCAGCAGCAAAACCTGGAATGATGCATGGTCACTGCTCAGCTGTACTTCCTAGGATCCGCTGTTCACACTGCAACCCGAAGTCAGCAGGGCGTGTCTGTTTTGGCAACACTCGGCAATCCAAGAAAGGCAAGCTGGCAAGCCAAGAAAGGCAAGCTCTGTCAAAAAAATGCATCAGCAGGCGACACCATTGACCCTGTCTCTGCTGCAGATGCTCATTTATAGTTCTTGCATCAGCAGGCGACACCATTGACCCTGTCTCTGCAGATGCTCATCCCGTTGATTCACGGGCTTGTTGAGTCTGACTCTGCCACCGGGTCATTGCTTGCTGCTGCGGGCTGCGAGTCCGACACTGACTGCAACTCCGAGAGTGACTGCAACGCAAGGTCACGCTTATCGGTGATACGTTTGAGCGACTCCTTCAGCACGGCCAAGTTGTTCTCTGCATGCACCATCTCCGCCTTGACCCTGGAGGCCTCATTCTCGAAAAAACTCTGTGTGAGTTTGGCAAGCATCTCTTTGACACTCCTGTCTGCACCAAACATGATCTCGACAGTGGCGTTGACACTGGCGTCCACAGGCTCTCTGTCACAGCTCATCCAGAATTCCTCGGTCTGCACATTTCCCACACAAGTCACCCTGAAGACCAAAACACGCGGATCTGCAAGTGCGCATACATGAAGTGTGTTCCGGAATCTTGAAGTTTTCAGAAGCATACAGGTATATACTTGTAATCCAATTATCTAAAACATCTAGCTATGTATATTTTGTATATATGTGTGTATGCATGTATGTACACATGTACCTGTCTGTATGTATGTATGTATGTATGTATGTATGTATGTATGGTGTATGTATGTATGTATGTATGTGTGAGTGAGTAAGTATGTATGTATGTATGCATGTATGTGTGTGTGTATGCGCGTGTGTATGTGTGTGTTGCATGGTATGTACGTATATATATATATATATATATATACATATAAACAAATAATAAGTCAATATAGATACCTGTATATATATATATTTATATATATATATATCTGTCTGTAATTATACATATAAATACATACTTAATATTAATTATATTCATGTGATATCAATCGTTTTTACATATATGTATGTACATATATATATATATATATATTATCTAAAATATTATTTCTACATTTATCATTCCATATGTGATATATGTAGATAGCTAGATAATCAGTTACCTTCAAAGCCGAATTTCGAGAAGTGGGCTGCTGCTTCTGCTGGTGTACCAAAAGCCAGTGTGAATAGCATCGAAAGTGTGAGCATGCAAGCTGATCTTGGGCAGCCATTCTGGATTGACTTCCGGCGGCGACATCCTACTGTGGCTGCACAACCACGTGATCAATGCCAGACTGGTTGGGTCTGAGAAATACATCTGTCCCTGACTCTGCAAGTCCGATTCAACGAGGCAGCTGTTGCGAAGAACCGTTTCCGTGACCTTCTTCCTCAAGAATGTGTTCTCCACCGAGTAGATTGTGAAGGTCTTTGGCCGTGACTCTGATGCGGCCTGGCAGTTCACAGTCAGGAAAGCATCCTTGATGATGACGCTGTAGCCGCCTGAAGAGTCATTCTCGGGGTCTAACACGATGGCTGACAGCCACCAACCACCGTCGCTCTGACCCTGAATTTCATTCTGCTCATACTTCGTCTGGAAATCAGTGATATTGACTTCCAAGACCATGAGATGCTTCGACTCTAGAAGCGGTGGAACCTGTTTCATGTACTTCTTGGTGGGCTCAGAGGGCTTCGGCTCTGACTCTGAGATCTTGAGTCCACGGCGACGGCCCTCGACGCGATAGTGGTGCCAAATGGCCTCCACAAATTCTCTATCTGAAATGGGGAAAATGAAGGTTCAGGGTATAGGGTTTCCCGGAAGTGTAGCTCCCAAATCCGCCAAACGCACCCAGGCCGCTCGCTTGCCTGGCTAAGTGGTCCCACCCAACCACCCAAGAGTATTCTCGATTAAGGTTCGTTTTGTCAACTTCCGATGTTTGATGCCTGTTTACTATTTTAGATGTCGATGTTGTGCTGATCACTAAACCACGACCCTGTGCAGGCATTTAAAGGATCGAAGCAATTGCCCGGGCACTCGTGGCCTGCTCCGGCCGTTCGGCTGTAAACATTGTGCTCCCCGACATTCTGCCCCGCTTAGGCTTAGGAGAAGGGTTTTGGGTTAAGGCACAGACACACCAAGAAACCCCCACACACACACACACAGAGACACATACAGACAGAGTGACTAACAGACAGACAGACAGACACACACACACACACAAACACACGTGTCTTGGATGACATGTCTCGGCCTGCGCAGGGTCTGGATAGCCAACTGCTGACACTGTGCACCGACGCTTGAGGAGGAGAATGCGCTCGATGTCATTCCAAGCTTTGTCTCTCTGGTTGCCAAAGCAGCAGTAGAGCTTCAAAGGCGACTTGGACATAGACATGGTTACACAAAGCGAATGCGCAAAAAGTGATGCGGGAGTCTTGACACCGAAAAACTGCGATAGATTCAGATGCCAGTCTATATCAGCTGCGCACTGGATGCAACTGTCTCGGAACTCTTTGACTTGCAGAGATGATCAATGGCTCTCGCACCCGCCTGGGTCTCCAAGTGAGCCCACTCCTGCCACGAGCAGAGTGCACTCGAAAGCATAGATCAGAACCGCACCACTTTAAATTACCGCGATCACGACAGAACATGCAACGTGCTTCCTAACGGCCATCTCTTCCACTGAACCCACACTGACATCCGGAAGCAATCCTCAAGTTTCCGACTTCGAAGAGCTGGGGCAGTGATATGAGCGCCTGCAGGCGCTCAGTCTGCAGAGCATGCACTTGTAATGTCCAAGAACAGAAACCGCATACAGCTGCTAATTTGCACAGCCGGAATTGAGTGATTCTATTGGCAGGAACAAGAACGCACCCTGAACGCACCCTTCAAAAAGAAGTGTTATAAAGTGAGAGTCAGCCTTCCAAAATTGCAGAACCGCGAACGCACCCTGCACACACCCTAGCAAAAGAAGTAGCTAAACCATCAAACTGTCATTACTACATTCTACTAGCAGAACCAAGAACGCACCCTGGACGCACCCAACCGAAACTGTTATCACCCTGTCTTGCCCAGACAGAACATGTAGGCATAGCTAATCTAATTATTTATTTTTGCACCCCACACCATCCAGAGTCCCACACTCCAAGGGAAGGTGGTGACCAACAGCAGCCACCTGCCCGAGTTGAGCACCCTGGAAAACCCAACCGAACCTTTTCACTGTTAACTAAGCACCAATTGTCATGGGTATGGGGTTTACGAAATGGGGCTGCTCGCCTACTGTGTCACAATCACAACTGACGCGCATGCACTTTGCAGGACGGAGACTGGCACAACACAGAATTGACAGTAGTAGTTTGTAAATAGCTAGAACAACGCATCGGAATCATACTGCAACCGGGACTTTGCAGGCCTCGACCTGCTGCTGATACAAGCCGCCGCAGGGCTGACAACCTCAAAAAGCAGCTTGCATTCACATGGCACGGGAAAGACAACATGTTGCAGATTCCACGGCTCAAGCGACTCCGACATCAAAAGGCTTCAGGCTTCAGGAGCTTGAATGAGAAGCTGAAGCGATCACTGAAGGGCCAGCTGAGTTCCTGGCTTCGCATGACACTGAAGGAACGTATGCACCTGCGAGGGCAAAGGATGCGACTGGACACTAAGCAAGCAACGACAAAGGCAAAAAAAACCCGGCAGCGGCAGCAGTGCTTTCTGTTCTGACTCGGAAGAGCCGCGGATCATGCACGCTCGGAGCAAAAGGTTGCACAGCGTGCTCCGAATTTGCTGCCGACCTTTGGCTGCATGTACAGAACTATGTGACTCTGATTTTGGTAGGAAGAGTAGGGAAGAAGCTGTGGGTCAGCAGTCAATTCTTGGCAAACCGTCTATTTCGACGGCTTGCCTTTGCTACTGGACGACCCGGATCCCTTGGCCCGCTCACCACTGACTCTGGTCATGTTCGCGTAGTCGGAATCGCATCTCATGCTGAGCCATGCATCGAAGTTCGCCGTGGGGTTCTTGTGCTTCGCTTGAACAGCTTGGATCCTCGGCTCAATCTGAATCAGCACTGAACATGCCAATGCCAATGACACGCTGTTGAACCCTAATCCAAATTTGCGCAAGGACACAAGATAAGTGTCGCACGGACACGTCCATCGTACCCCAGCGAAAGCAGGCGATTGACGCTGTTGTAGGCCTTCCAGCCGGTGTTCAGGTCGTTCATGAGCTCATCCCTGACCGAGATGACTTTCAAATTGAACTCACAAGTCACTACGTGACTCTGACAATGAACCAAATCAATGTCAGGCAAGACACACTACCTCCTTGTAGCCCTCGGGCGGCTCCTGGTGGAAGGTGTTGTCAGGGCCATTGTAGCGGAATGTCGCACCTCCACCTTTGTGACCCTTGCCAGAAGGCTGCGGCTTGCCCTTGCCTTTGCCTTTCCCCTTCTGACTCTGACCAGAGTCGGGACCCTCGTAGGGCACGATCCGAAAATTATCAGGGTCTGGCCCGAGGAATTCCAAGCCCCGAACCGGCGAAGAGTCTCCGTCGTCGTTGTGGTCATTGTGACTCTGATCAGGCACTGGGCATTCCGCACTCATGCTCGTTGATCCTCAGAGGATACGAACTACGGTCAGGTGTGCATCGCAAGTCACTGCTGATAATGCCCAATGCAGATCAGGGACGTTTTGACCACCTGCTGACAAGATCGCACCACCCAGCCGCTGGAGTTCTTGACGACCGCGCCCTCGTTCTGACGCACGAAGCGAGCGATGTCACTGGCAGCCCGGGGATTAAGTGACCAAGTCAGGAAGAGGACCTGGGATAGCAAGGCCAATTATTTGATATGGGCACAACATGATGAGCTCCGCCAATGGGCCAAGATGCTTGCTGGGCCCCCTTGTCCAAACGAGCCAGATGAGCAGCCCCCGCCAAGTTCTTGGGAAGATGGCTCAGGGCACAGGAATCTTCGGCCATCCAGTGCTTAATTTGACACTGCCTATGTGACTGTGTGTCTGTCTGTTCAAGATTTTGACACTGCCTATGTGACTGTGTGTCTGTCATTGGCATGTCAGTCAGTATGCGGCCTTTGTCGGACGCTATGTTGCAATGCCACTCGGCTATTGTGATTGCAGCGATGGCCCAGTGCCTATGCAATGACCTCAATGTCTGACATGTCTGACCCACGCTGCAGCGGGCACAATCAGGCAACATGCGCTTCCGAAGTGCAGCTGGCAATGTGACTCTGACTGTCAGAGCAAACATGCTTCGAACAATGGCTGCACCCAAAGCTGAGCAGGCAGAGGGGTTGGCACCTTCCGTAGTCGCCGGGATCTGACTCTGGCAGCCGCCCACATAGAGCCTGAGCAACAGACAATAAGGAATCCTCAGTGCAACTGTATTCTTGAATCCCATCAAGGTCATTATATGTTCTACTAATTTAGTAGAACATATAATGACCTTGCAGAAATGATTAGCACAGGACTGTGGATGCATCTTTGAAGCCGCCTAGCTAGCATTTGGTGCAATCTTGTCCCTGCCACCCATGAACAATGCCTAGAATGACAGGCAGGTGCCCTGATTAAGGAATTTCCATATGGTACAGAAGCCATAATACAGCCGCGTTGACTAACTACCTAGCTGGAATGACGATTCTATTGGCAAATACAAGAACGCACCCTGGACGCACCCAGCACGATTCTATTGGCAAACACAAGAATGCACCCTGGACGCAAACAGCACGATTCTATTGGCAAACGCAAGAACGCACCCTGAACGCACCCCCAGTATACATTACACGGTTCAGGGTTTAGGGTTTAGGGATTTGGGGTTTAGGGTTATTGCAAGTTAAAGTATGAGACAATGCTGCTGCGATCCGCCTAATATTACCAATAGAAAGCACCCTGGACGCACTCAAGCCACACCAAGAATATAAGCAAGCAGAGCCGAAGTAAGAAATCTCCAATACATGATGTATTGGAGATTTCTTACTTCGGCTCTGCTTGCTTATATCATGCACTTAGCTGCCACCCCCATCCAAGGTCCCTGCTCCAAGCGAAGATGGCAAGGGATCAGCAGCAGCCACCTGACCAGGAGAAGTTTTGGGAAATCTTGTAAGAACGACCCCTGGAAACTTAAGTGCCCCGAACTGAACCACTGCCCTGTAAAACTAAGTAAACCACCGCGTGTGTTGAGTTGAGTGATAGGGTACGGGGGTTTTGATTTGGATGTTTGGCCGCAGGCTTTGAAGCTTGGGGCAGGTCAGGATATCCAATGCAGCTTTGCTTCTAGTCGAAGGATGATCTGACTGATGACTGGGGCTTGGATCCTTGGTGTAATTTATGCTTCCCCTGGCCCTGCCAACGGACTTTTTCACTTCCTGGCCCCAGACGGCTTTGACACTGACATACCATCGTTGTAGCCAAGATGGTATGCCTCGATCTGGCCAAAAATCGGAGGCTTTGCCCTCGCAGCTTCGTCGCGAGCCTCCTTCTTGACCCTGGCCTTTTCCCGGGCAGCAGCAGATTTGGCTCTTGACTCTGACTTGGCCTTGGCCTCCGCCTGCATGACCTTGATGGGGATATATTAAATTAAGGCTGCCTAGACCCTAGACCCTAAACCCTAGACCCTAAACAATGAGCCGATCGTGCCAAGTTTCCCTCTGCTGCTCGGTGAAGATGGCCTTCGCCGTGGCCTTGGCAGCAGACTTGACAGCCTTCGGCACCACCTTCTCCACCACCCCCATCGCCAGAGATACCAGTCGCGACTCTGACCCTGATGAGCTGCTACTGCTGCTGCTGCTGCTGCTGCTGCTGCTGGGCTTCTTGATCTTCTTCGGGGGCGGAGCCATCGGTGCAACAGCAGCAGGCGCAGCAGCCCCTGATCTCAAATGGTGTTAGAATAAGGAATGTAAGACCCCGATTTGAATCAAAAATCGCAAGCTTTACCCATTCAATTAAAGTGCTCGTCAATGCCGCCGCCGGGGGCTTTGACGCTGACGAAGCCATAGGCACAGCGGCAGCTTTCGGCAGAGAAGCTGACCCTGACGCAGCAGGAGGTCTTGGCGGTGCCGGCTTCATCGTTGAGCCATCTGACTCTGGAGGGCCAGCTTTGGATGTAGACTTCAGCAGAGTAGCCTAAGAGGTTAATGATGGCCAGGCACTGTAGTTAATATAAGCAGTGACACACAGCAATCGCCCCAAACAGTAATGAACTCAGACCAAGAACCGGCTGTGAGGATGCTGACCCTGACTCTAGAAGATCCTGAGCATGATTCTTTCAAACCGCAAACATAATAACCCCGAAAAAAAGTTTAACCAAAAAACTAAACCCAGATGGCTTCAAGCAAAGTCTCATGGGCCTCGCGCACCTCATCCAGCCCAGCCATGCGATCTGCAAAGTCTTTGTGGCGCTTCTCCCGCGCACCCTTTCCACCGTGCGCCTTTTTCTTCTTGTTCTTCTTCTTGACTCTGACCACGCCGCCTTTGCCAGCCCCGCCTTTGCCACCGCCGCCCTTGGAAGAAAAATCAGAAAAGTCCATGGCGGCAATCGGCAAAGGTGTGAAACTTGATTCGGAAAGGAGTTTGCAGTCGGGATATATTATTGTTGTTTTTGAATGGTCCACCCCAGCATGATTGTGTGGTTTGACCCTGACTCCGGGACTGGGCCAATCGTGTGATTCTGATGTGGGACTTAATACACGCCCCTTACCAGCCGAAAAGCTTCAGGATTAGGGTTTCGGCGCTCACACTCGGACAGGATTAGGGTTTAGGGTTTAGGATTTAGGGTTTAGTTTAGGCAACCCAATTGTCCCACCCAAGCTGCAACCCGAAACCCAAGCCGTTCATAGGCCCTTGAAGGGTTTAGGGTTTATAGGGTTTAGAACTCAAAAGTCATCTTGATGCCCCCGAACCCCACAACGTTTGTTATGATGTTTGAGATTCATTATATTGACATAATCCCCCAAATTTACTAAGAACCCCAAAACCCTAGACCTAGACCCAAAGCCCAACACTGGATCCGCCTGCTCCGTCTGACTCTGACGAAGCTCAGCAGCGGCGACGCCGGGCGCGACCTGGTGATGCAGAACGGTCATTCAAAGGTCCCGGTGCCCCTTCTCAGCAACCGTGCACCCCAGGCAAAACCTTCCAATCCCAATCAAAAAACGCACTCGGAGTGATGAGGTCCTGGCTTGACGCTGACTCTGATGCCCATGGCGGCGTTGTGTCTCGATCTCGGAACGGCTCAGGGCTTTAGGGAGTTTCAGCGCTCACACGCGGACAATCCAGGCGAGGCAAACAAAGGACTGTGTGGAGTCAACCAGCAACAACGCAGAGGCACTGCCCAAACCAATCCAAGAGCCCGCCGTGCTCAACCAGCCATCGTTATAATATTATATAATCAGCCCAGTTTACCCCCCGCCCCGAAAAGATATGGTGTAACAAATGGCCAGAGTTACTTCTAGGTGATAAATCTTAATATATCATACACCCCAAGGCGATGGTGCTGTCCGGCCACAAGGCCAGCTCAAATAGACCCCCGGCCCCCAACCCAGTTTGCCCCCAACCAGTTGCGGCAACCCTCCCGAAAATTCATGGTAAAAAAATGGCGGGAGTTTCCCCTGGGGGGCTACCCCACGAAACGAAAAAAAAAGTAGCTTTCTGATTATCTAGGTGGTGGTGCCTAATCGGCCCCTCCACCTGGTGATGGTGCCTGTTCGGCCCCTCCACCTTGCTTTGGTGATGGTGCCTCTTCGGCCCCTCCACCATCGCATCAACCCCTCCACCAATTATTATTTCCCCCAAAGAATATCATCAAACACTTGGGTTCTTGGGTGATTGTTCAAGAATGATTGACTCCCCCCCGCACGCCCAGCCCACCGTGTTTAAATTCTCCTAACCACCCACCCCGGTGATGTGCCTAATGGGCGCCAACAATTGCACGATCCCCGCCCAGTTAGCAATGGTCCCAAAACTCATGGCCAAAAAATTGCGAGAGTTTCCCCTGGGGGGCTACCCCACGAGATCAGGAAAGGCACTACACATATCCGAAATTGATTAATGGTCCCCAACCCAGTTTGCCCCCAACCAGTTGCGGCAACCCTCCCGAAAACTCATGGTAAAAAATTGGCGAGAGTTTCCCCTGGGGGGCTACCCCACGAAACGAAAGAAAAGGTAGTTTTCTAGGTGGTGGTGCCTAATCGGCCCCTCCACCTGGTGATGGTGCCTGTTCGGCCCCTCCACCTTGCTTTGGTGATGGTGCCTCTTCGGCCCCTCCACCATCGCATCCACCCCTCCACCAATTATTATTCCCCCAAAAGAATATCATCAAACACTTGGGTTCTTGGGTGATTGTTCAAGAATGATTGACTCCCCCCCGCCCGCCCAGCCCACCATGTTTATTATTCTCCCAACCACCCACCCAGGTGATGGTGCCTGTTCGGCCCCTCCACCTTGATGGTGCCTGTTCGGCCCCACCTTGACCCTGAACCCTGAACGGACCCTGAACTAAACGCAACGGCTGCACTCTGAGGCGTCCGGCGTCATCGAAGAGGACGAGGTCGTCAAAGTCGTCGGGCGAGCTTTGGGGAGGGGTTTGATGGGCTAAGGTCGGGGCTACGTGATTAGAGTAGGGGATCAGGTGTTTAGGTTTCAGGGCTCAGTGTTGACTCTGACTCTCGAGTTTTTTAATCTAGGGTTTAGGGTTCAGCATGTAGGGTTTAGGGTTCACAGGGTTCAGGGTTGACCCTAACACTGCGGCAAGCAAGACCCCAGAACCCCTTATAGTTATATAATACCAACATCACCCCTCAAAAAGTTAAGGATTCTAAGATTCAAGCGAGAGTTAGGCAAGCTAAACTAGTACTGCGCGCATATACGGGGACCCTGAAAGGGACTTGAATATAGAGAACTACCCGTATCATAGTACCCTCATAGAAACCCTATAGAAAACATTATAGATCTCTAGATCTTTCCTATAGAAACCATCATAGATCCCTTTATGGAGCACTGAAACGGGACACCAAAAGGGAGCCTACTTTAGAGAAGTACACGATTGAGGGACCCTGAACCAGATGAAGGTGGGCGCCTTCACTGCCGTAGAAGCTTCAGGGTTTAGGGATTTAGGGGTTTAGGGCTTACCTAGACCCCCAAAAGTAGGTAAAATAATGGCCCAAAACCTATAAAAGGCTATTATTCTACACACTTTTGGGGTCCAGGTAGGGTTGGGATCCTAAACCGATAGAAGCTAAACTTTTTGAGGCTTGGGCTTTGGGTTTTGGAGATGTTTAGAGTTGTGGAGGCTTAGAGGCCTAAGCTACAATGAATTACCTATAGTCTCCATTGTAGTTACTTCTTGGGGTTGCCTTATGGGATCCTGATGACATATTTGGTTAAAACAAAAACAAGCACCACAATGGCGCCTATAGGTAATGTCCGTCAAACCCTAATCACCCTAGGGCCACGAACTGCCAATGCACCTCATGCTGCTTACAATTCCCACAAGCTGCTCAAGCACAAAACGCCGGTACAGCAGAGGTCGGGCAGTTCTAAACCCAGCAAGCATAAACTCTAGAGTAGGATTTAGGGTTTAGGGCACACTTCAACTCAAAAAAATAAAGCCCAAAACCCTGAACCCTACTGGCCAGCGCCTTGAAACCTCCGAAATGGTAAACCCGATCATTCCGAGTCACTCCATCAAGTAGCCAGTCAACTCGACGCCGCCGAAATCCAAGCCTGAGATGTTTAGCAACGGTTCGAGGTGTTTGCCTTTGTTAAGTTTTCTGTGTTTGGGCTTCAGGGGCATGGTGTTTAAGGTAAGCTTTAGAAGCTGCCCCCACCCTGTAGTAGTGACTATAAGGATTATATTAGGGCCCTATTATATTCCTAGTATACCACGATTACAGGGTGGGGGCAGCTTCTAAGGTAAGCTTTACTTCTTTATGAACGGATTTTCGGCTCTCCGACTCTGAGCTCTCTGCGATCTCCACACTGCTAGGGGGCGATGAACCTTCCCTCTCGGGTTTAGGGATTAGGGGCTTCAGATTGAAAAGGAAAGGTGGGGTTTGGTGTTTAAGCGTTTGTACTGAGTGACATGATTAACACCTGGGTTATCTCTGTCTCTGCAACCAACAGCTCATTCAGCTATGCTGAATTGTTCACTAGGTTGGCCCCTCAAAGCCTATGAAACATATTCGTAAATAGGGTCCCATTAAGCACAATAAAGGAAAACATGTCCCAAAGGCCTACCTAGTTCAAGCCATGTGAACCCTGGTGTCGCAGTCCCAGGTCCCAAGCTCCTCGAGGTACGGTTTTAGGATTTCTCGATGGAGACTAAGTTCGTAAAGGAGGTTCTTCTAGTGCTTCAGAGCGCATGGCCAATGCATGCATGAGTCTGTGTGTGTGTGTATGTGCATGTGTATATGTATGTATGTATGTATGTATGTATGTGTATGTATACAGAAGTATGTACGTGTAGACATGTGTGGCACATGTATGTACATGTACGTCTGCGTCTGTTTGGTTGTGTCTGTTTGTATGTTTGTCTGCTTTTCTGCTTGTCTGCGTGTTTGCCTTACGCTTATCTGTCTTATTAGCAGTTTGTTGGTCGGTCCGTCTGTCTGTCGGTCGGTCTGCCTATATGTATGTACTTGTTCAGGTGCTTATGAGTATACTGTTGTATTTATCAGTCGTTTGAAACTTTTACCATGTATGTGATTTTGTCGGTTTCATTGCTTGCTTGCTACATATTTAGTTTGACAGTTTATTTGGACACACAGGTGTTCAATTATGTGTTCTTCAACATGTGCCTACATTTTCAATGTTCTTCAACATGTGACTATATTGTTGAATATAGATGTATACACACACACACAGCTATGTGTGTGTATATATATATATGTATGTATGTCTATTTATATTCTGTGACTGTGCTGACAAACAAGCAAAGCAACAAATCAACGCACTTCTATGTAACGTCTGAGTACATATGCTCAGTACCAGTACAAAAATACAACCACATGCAGGTTGAATCAAACATGCCGATATAGAAAATGCCTGTATCATGTGTGTATAACAGCATGCCAACCACTGAAGTATATTCCTATGCCCATATCGAGAGAAAGGTAGTGACCTAATTTAGTGCAACTTGGCATATTTAATTCAAGCCCAAGCAGCATGCGACGCAGTGAGCTATCGACACACCATCGTAGATGGGAACAGCTGCGATCTGCGTCGCGCCGAAATCCTTGGGGGCCCACAATAGCACCCATGCATACAGACTCTACCCTTGAGGTGGAAGAGCTCCTATCCCTAAGGCTCCATGTACACATATGGTATATACTTAGGCCTTAAAGTACCTGTATAGGGCCTACTTTGGGGCTTAAAGAATCTACTATAACGGTACATGGAGCCTTTGGGTATGGAGAGACTTCCGGAAATCATGTCGTATTGATGTGGCCCGTTTGGCCCTCTACCCAATTAATTTAATCCTGGCTTTGGAGGTTTATCTGCTCTGGGGCTCGGGGTTTCAAACGTTGTGTGAAAACCCTAAAGTATCAGGTTTGGATGTTTTGAGAGATTTGCTGTAGCTCTTATACTGGGCATAGCTTACCGTGGCCACCAACTCTCTTGTCAAAGGTTGACTGTTGAATGTCTAGTTCAAGCGGAAGCTGAAACATAGACCCCGCACCCCAAGCTGTACAAAAAACAAATCCTAGGCCAGATAGGCTCAGCGCGAGCAGCAGAACCCCGTAGGCCCTTAAAGTAATCGTAACCCTTGAAACAAACCGTCGAAGAAGCCTGGAAAACGACTCTAAACTCAAACGATCGGTGGAGCTGCCCTATAGACCCCAGACCCTACACTTAAACCCTACGGTTTTCGATCTGTGTTGGGACCCCCAGTTATATAGAAGCCCATTCATCTAATGGCCTGCTTATCAACGTTAAGATATGGGTTTGTAGGGTTCCTTGAAGGGTTCCCGTTTGGGGTTCCCTTAAGGATTCTGTAGGGTTTACGTTAACAGGCTTAGTATAGGGCCTCAACCAATGGAATCACTTTTCTTCCTCGAAAGGTTCCTTCAAGGGTTACGCTTGCTTTAACTTGCCCTTACCCTAACAGGTTCAACTTTACCTACTCACCTACTGAGTGACTGCTCGAAACAGGGTCTGGAGACATATTTCAGAAACTACAGGACCCTAACACAGGCCTAAATAATCGGGCCCTTTATCTATCGCCAAATACCCAAAAGTACCCTAGCTTTACTAGACCCAAGAGTAAGCTCGGAATAAAGGGGGGCCCTTTTGGGTTGAAACGGGGATATAAGGGAATCTGAGCCCTTAAAAACGGGGATAAGGGCTTAGTCTGGGTCCTAGCTTTAAGAAGCCCCTATCCCTTGCTCTGAGCACCCCACATGACTAAAACTTAGTGACCTACTTGTCGGGTATCGAGGGGCACTAAAGGTTAACCTTTCTTGGTGACATAGGGATTATATAGGGACTATACTACCCACAAAAGGTTAAAGGTTCCCTACTCGACTACAAGGCAAGTGACTAAGACGAGCCCCTAACACACCGAACTTGGCAACCCTGAAATCTTCTGATCCATTCCCGAATCCGCCCCCAAAAGCCTACCTGCGCTTCTAGATCTGATTTATGAACCTCGAAACAAGGAACCTCGAACATGTAAAATTTGGAATATTCGGGAGGACCAGCAAAAAAATAATGAACCTTCAACCTTCAACTGCTGAGACCTCGATTTCTGTAGGAGCCATGAGAGTTCGGAGAGGGCTTTGGCCGGCTTTGGAGTATATCACAATCCTCTCAGGAAGTATTAACGTCTGATGTTGCACTTCCTAATCCCTAAACATAAACCCTAAACCCTACTTCGACTCATCTGGGAGTCCACGACCATTCCGCGGGTCCTTCCTGCGGCATACAGCGCCAAGACTTGTGCGTTGCAGAGGTATGCCGCGGGCACTTCAAACGTCTCCTTGGCTTAGGAAACATCTCCTTATACTGTTTAGGGTTGTCGGTTGGTGGGATTTGGCAGGGTGTTTCATCCTCAACCCTAAACCCGACACCCGGTACCCCAAACCTGGAATTTCGGGTTTATGAGGGTCTGTTAGGATTTCGGGGGTTCGGTTGAGACGCGGGATCCCAGCTACGCTGCAAAGTCATCGTTTCATGTTTTATGGAAACCCAATATGCAAATAATACAAACTAAAGTTACGATTGCTTCAACTTCATCTCAACAACATGTTGGATAATCGTCTCGACCTGGTGAGGTCACACTTTGCTAGGAACCCTTGAAATCCAACAATCACATGAGCTCATCTTTCTAAGATTCTACATGCTCTACATGCATCACAAGTAGAACAACAACAGGTGGGCTTACATACCCTCCTGTGTCGGGGGGAGGGGGGGCTCTGTTTCCAACCATCTGATAGCTGCCATTCGTGACATATTGTCCTGACAAAGATTAGGCAGCTGGAACTAGGCCAAAAACATGAGTTGTCAGGGCTGCGATGGCTCCTGGCCGATCTTTGCCTGACAAGGTTAGGGTTAGGGTATGAAAATCAGAAAATCAAAAACAGGGTGCCGCATTTGGTAAACTCCAGCTCCCTCCAGCAGAATCCTCCGTTGATCAAAGCTACTGATAGGGTTGGGTTGCTTAATACTGTATAGTTCCGCCATGATATACCCCAAAATCCGCTTCGGCCTGTCAAGGGGCAGGGCTGCGCAGGAGTGGGCTAGTTGGCTACCCGAATATGTTCCCCTGAACGTCCAAGTTGCCTAAAAATAGCACTACCCTAAGGGTCCAAGTAGTTCCTAGTTATGGTTTTTGGTACCTAAAAAGGGCCCTAAAGTCCTATAATAGGGAGTACTTGGACCCTCTGGGCTAGAAATCATTTAATAGCCGCCGGGTGTCGAACAACATCAGGAGCATTTTCTCCCGATCGGCCTTGGTGTTTCATACTTGCAGGCCTTACCTTAGCTTCAAACACTACTTGGGGGCTGTAATGCGGCTATAACCTATACCCCCCTTAAAACCAAGGTATTGGGGTGTACCGAGAGAACAATTCAGGAATAGTATTGGCGAATGCTCAGGCCCTATTAAACTTTAAGCCTGCAACTGCTGAGACCCGGATCGAATGGAACGGCAAAGCTATCTATACTATGTTGGATTTGTAGATAGGGTCCTGCTAAGCCCAATAAGGGAAAATACAATTATCCCAAAGGCCTACCTAGTATAGTTGCAGCTCTGTGTTAGGACAGTTCGGGAAGTTGAACAAGTCGCCACTAAATCGGCACCTAGCTCAGGGCTTAGGGACTAAGATGCAGTTTCAGATCGTCGAACTTTGCTTGGGAGCTTCCCCAACTTAGTAACACAAGAAGAAGACTACTAGGTCGGTGGCTGAGTAATGAAGGGGCCTTAATGATTAGAATAAGGTTTCGGGGCCCATTATTACTATAAGCATTTTTAATCAGGAGCCCTCCAAATAGAATGAGTAATTGTTGATGTCCCTACATTAGTACATCCTTTTATCGCCTGCAGCTGCCCTGTACAACCCCTTATGACCCCCGCAACCCATCTTGCAAACCTGACTTACAAACTTTCGAGACTAAGCTTAGTTGCACAAGAGTAAGACTCTGCACGAATCTAGGATGCCCAGTAACCCAGGAATCAATAGGGCTCCCTGTTTGGTATTGGGTAACTTTTATAAGGAACCTAGGACTACGAAAAGGGAATGAGGGTACTACTGGGCATCCTACTTGAAGGCTCATGGGACTTAGTAAGTAAGGTTATAAGTAGGTTACAATTAGGATAACCCCACTTAGGGGACTTATAACCCCAACTACAACCTACTTACTAAGTCCCATGATCCTCTAAGTAGGAATCCACCGGATAGAGGCTTGCTCAAACCGGACCTAGGCTCCAAAGGATCTTCACGGAACGGTGCCAGGTTCTTGGATTCAGATTTAGGGTTTACGCCTAAACCCTAAACCCGACACCCCTAAACCTAAACGCCTAAACCCTAAACCCCTAAACCCTAAACCCCTAAACCCGAAACCCCTAAACCCTGAAGGGAGTAGGGCTTAGAGGTTAGCATCAAACCCTGCAGCATATACATCCGCTACGAAGCTCCACCACCTGCACAACATAAGTGCCTCAGCAAGTAGACTACCCTAAGGGTCCATGTACTTGCATGTACCTAAATGGTATATACATTGGCCTTCAAGTACTCCCTATATGGGCACATTGGGCTCAAACTATGTACTATTTGGGTACATGGACCTTAGGGTTAGTGTTTTGGGGCATGTTTGTTTATTGTGATGATGGTGGTGACTAAGATAAGAAGTTTGTGTAGGACTACTGATTATGCAACCCGTCAGTTGTCAGGCTGGCCTTTGGCGTCAATGGAGCCTCGGTGACAAGAACCGGATGGTCCTGCGGAGGAAACAAACATACAGGTAGTGCCTTACAGCCTTACATGTCTGTGGGGAGAACCCCTACCTGAGGCCCGAAACTCTCAAAACTGGTGGGTTGTCACCCCATGACGGGGTAATCCTTAAAATAATTGGCAGTTGGCAGTTGTATCACTGGGTAAATATGTTCATAAACTCCTCCGAAATACTAACCTACGTTACTAACATCCCGAACGCAACTGTTGATGATATCAACCCTGCATGACCCATAAGGAATATACCAGAATTCCCATATATGATCCCGGTTCTCGGTTCACCGACCCCCCCCCCCCCACGCTCCCCAAGCCGAATCTGTGTGTCCACACGAGGGCTCACACGCCAAGCAGACCCACGCAGGAAACCCAAACCGCACCACACCACAGGGGAGTCGGGTAACCAGCCTAAGCAGACCCACCGAACCACACCACACCACAGCAGACCCACGCAGGAAACCCAAACCACACCACACCACAGGGGGGAGTGGGGTAACCAGCCTAAGCAGACCCACTCCCGAACCACACCACACCACACCACAGGGAGGGGGAAGCAACCCACAACCACATCACACCAGGAGGGGGAGGAGGAACCATTGGGGGGGGGGAGGGGGGGGGCCGGCCGAACCGGGATCATATATTCCTTATTATGGGCAATGCAGGATATATATATATATATATATATCATCAACCGAAGTACCTTACTACTGCGCCGGGCTGATAGTTCGACCCACGAGCATGAACATGCTGGAATAGCCGATTCTACCCAGGCCCCCTCCTCCCTCTTCCCCATACAGTAGAAGCCAGAAAGTTGGAATATCATTATCGTAACCCCTTTAAAGTAAATTATAGGGTATCCTACCATTAATTTATGTTCCAACTTTCTGGAGTTCCCTTTAGGCTCCTAACACAAGTTAGCCTTCGGGCCTTCCCCCGCAACTAAAGACAACATTTCATTTTAGAAAACGCCATAGCAATCACTCGGCTAGCCCGCATGGGGAATTCGTGACGTTGAAAGACTCCGCTACTCCGCAAGAGCTTGTATAAGTATAAGGGCTAGATACAGGCAACGTACCTCGAAACTTTCGACCCAGGGGTGTATGCCTCAAAGGGTGTATAGCTTGGAACAGCTTCTCTATTCGCAGGGACCTGTTACAGGAAAGCACTTATCACCCCTGAACTCTAAGTCCGTTACTAGTTAGAAGAACCAGTGGTGATCGAGAAATATAATTGAAACCGCTGGACCTGCCTGTGTAGCCGTTACTGCTAACCCGTTAACCCGAAGCAGCATATGTTCAGGGTCTGGGTTTATAGCAATAGGTCCTGTGGCTGGATGTTCAGCTCATTGTAGAAGGTGTGATGCCAAATCTTCCTCTGCTTGCTCCACACATCGCGCTTCGGCTTTGAGGGGACTCACCCGGTGATGCCCTACATCTGGATGTCCAAATTCCATATATGGACTCGATTTAATGAATACACAACCCCACGGTAATCTTTACACCCCCGGTTGCCATCAGAATCTTACAGAGCGGGGATAGCTAACAGCAACTCCCCCCACGACCTCAGCCTTAGCGAAAGGCCGTGGCAGGATTGAGTGCAAAGGGACTGAAGCTTTAGGAACTCAGTCTTTACCTTACTCAGAACACCGAAACCGAGTAGGTCAAGCTACTTCAACCTACTTGTGGAGTATCATGGGGAACTAAAGGTTTCGCCCTTTGGGGTATATAGGGTTATCTAAGGACTATACTACCCGAAAAAGGTTAAAGGTTACCTACTCGACTACTAGGCAAGGTGTGGGGCTTAGGAGTGCAAGCACCATGCTGTGGCTGATGGTTCATAGCACGATCTTGGGTTTAGCCGGGAGTGGGGGGGGGGGGGGGGGGCGGGGGCGCAGGCAGAATTTGGTGGAAGCACTGGAGATGGTAGGGAGGCTGTGTGTTACACTAAAAACCCAACTGGACCTCCCCAAATTCAGAGCCCTCAACCCGAAGCCCGCCCGCGTGAACCCCCCCCCCACCCACAAATCCAACCGCTCAAGCCGAGCGGCTCGAGATCGTCCCAATTGGTGACGACCCCGCGAGTCACAGGGGTCTTGCAGCCTAAGAAGCCTGGACCAGGAGCCAGAATTTAGAGTTCAGGGGGGTAGGGTCCTGGATTGAAAGACTCTGCACCACGAAGCACGGTGTAGTTCTAAACCACCTTATAAATCACTTTGGGGCTTCATGCTTCAAGGGGATTAGATTCATGGTTTGGGGTTTTGGATGCAAGGATCGCGTTCACATTTACACTCGCTAGGCTGGGAACGCTCGGGCCTGAGGAAAATCCTATACAGACAGTCTCCATTGTAGCTACTTTTCTCTGGTGATTTCATAGCATAGGATCCTATCTATCCGAGAACTGGTTACCAACGAAGAGGAATTAATCAATGGATAACATAAGTATTTGTACGTAAATTGCCTGAGAAGTATAGAGATAGGACTTCGGGGCCGCGACAGACTTGCTTGCTCGAAGGGTTCGGGCTTTTGGGCCTCACAAACAACAAAAAGCGGGCTCTCAGCCTCAAGACGATCCGAGTATATCGGTATGTCCATGTGCTTGTTGTGTTCGCTGCAATGGTGGGCTGCATACCCTCAAAACGATTGCAAGGTCATCTGTCTGTTGTCATCAAGGTATGCTCGGGTGTTCACCTACACGAGCGCATGGCACACAGGATCTCTAAATCCTGTCCGTGCGGGTTCACATACTCAACCAGCACACACGTAATTTGCATCGAGTGACATCCCACACTTGCCTGTTTGATGTAAGTTCACTCGACTCAAATACTTGGACCTTTATTGAAAATTTCATCACATGATGCGATCGAAGCGGCCGCGTCGTCTGAGGGCATCGTGGCCCACGTAGTGGTCCGTTACCATCCTGGGTCATTCCGAACTTGAGTAAATGAGGGGTTGTAGTGGTGGGTAATTCCTGCTTGTTTCTTCAATTCAAGCCTTGATAGATGTGGGTTTGCACAGGTGCCGCTTGCTCACGCGTAGTGAGTGTGAACAGGATTATAAGGGTTTAAGGTTCCTGCAAGGTTTCTATAGGGATTAGGATTTTGGGCTCAGGGCAGTAATTCCAAAAAAGTGGTAAAAGTGGGGCAACTTTCAATAACACCGTAAACCCTTAAGTCCCAAATGTCAGCAGACTTCTGTGTTGTAGCCCGGCTCTTCTTCCCACTCCAAGTACAGGGCTGGTAAGTAAGGGCTTTTTGCGTGCGTATGTATATGTACCATACTTAGAGGATCATGGGACTTAGTAAGTAGGTTATAACTGGCGCTATAAGTCCCCTAAGTGGGGTTATCCTAATTATAACCTACTGATAACCTTACTTACTAAGTCCCATGAGCCTTCAAGTACACACATGGGTGTGTTAGGCGTTAGGCTTTGTGCAGGGACGGTGATACAGTCTGGGCTAAGGTAGACTTGTGCGGTATGTCATTCCTGAAATAACCTCCAATAACATTAACTGAATAAGTAAATCCATATACATATGCATATACATACATACGTATATATACATATATACATAAATAATTTCTTTATGATTATGGTTATTATTTGTATTATTATTGTTACTATTTTTATTAGTACTATTGTGTGTATATATATATATATATATATTCACTGTAATTACTAATAAAGCCTTTATATGACTGTAGCAACGCCCAGGCGCATGCCCACCATGACGGTCGGGTTGACCCTGTCGTCTCGTGAGGGCTTTTCGTGTTGATAACGCATGTGCAGAGACTCCAATATCCCTGAATTATTAGCGGTTTGATACTATGATTTAAGCCATATTCCTTAATTAAGGGGTATTGAGCTCTCTGGGTGTGCAGGGGCTTGACCAGGGGTGCTTCAGATATCATAGAATCGGGCTTTTTGTGGTTCTATAAGGCTATAATAGGGGCCTATGGTATAGGGGCCTGTATAAATTGAATAGGGTTTTGGAGCCTGCTGTACTATTTTCTAAAAAGGAACCCCCCCCCCCAAATCATATTGGTAATTGTACAGGCCCCCATATTAATCCTAAATCCCACACCCCAGACTTTCGGCAGGTCTGAGTTTGGCTGGGTCCGATGGAATCCATTACAGTAGGGCTTGGGGTTTACATGATGGTCTAGGGCTCTAAGGGATAAAAGGCCATGATAGGGTTGCGGGCCATTCTGGTGCATTTTATGCCGCAGTAGTGGTAGTTCTGTAGTCTCACATCCCAGCGCCGAAGCGCAGGTCAATGCATTTGTCTAGCGGAATGCGCATGGGGTTTGAACAATTGGTATGTGTAGCTATCCAGGCTTCCAAGTTAGCGTCAGCTTCCGGCCTAGGGTCTCATCTGACTTCCCTCTTGGTACTAATTACCATAATCGGCCAACGGTGTATAGAACAACGACTAGTTGAGTACTGTAAACCTCGGAAAAGCTGGCAGGGAATAGTACCCACTTGTCGTCTTATAAATATATGTGCAATATATATATATATATATGAGCCCGATACCTTTAGGGTATATTTAGCTAGCTTTTTATATATGCAATACTAAATGCCTAGTTAAATATTATATCGCATCATATGCGCCGATACGATGTGGATCCGAAATGTTTGCCAATCCCCCGATCCAAAGGTTTTAACCTCCGAAGATCAGAAGGATATCCGTAAACAATTCAAGCTTCGACTCTAGTCTTCTAGTGTGTGCTGCCTACTGGATCAGCTCACGCCCCAACAGCAGAGGTCATATACAAGATATTCCTTATCCAATAGAGGTTCCATAGGAGGGAGTGGAGTGACACATTAGAGGGCCTGTAATGCGTCAATTTATACTACCCAGAGGTCTTCCAATAACCCTTACAGATTGCTTATAGAAATCTTATAGATCCTCTATGTAGAGACCTTATATAAATCCATTATATAAAAAACTGTAGATCACTTACAGAGAGACTTTCTAGAAACCCATTATGGATCCCTCATATGGGGCCTTTATAGTAAGCCCGGTTACAAAGTATGTAGATGCGACGTGGTAAGCTATTCTTGATATAGTAGTTAAGATGAATTGATTGTATTATGGTTCGTACAATACCTATGCAAATTACTTTAAAAATAGAGGGAGCGGTATTAAAACCAATGAAACCGGCAACGAAGATGATGAAGAAGATGAAGATGATGCAGATGATGAAGATGATGAAGATAATGGAGATGATGAAGATGATGAAGATGATGGAGATGATGGAGATGATGAAGATGATGGAGATGAAGAAGATGATGGGGGTGATGGATATGATGGAGATGGCAGGGGGCAGGGGGCAAATGGCAAAGGGGAGGGAAAGGTGAGGAGGTGGGGAAGGCAGGGATGGTAGGAGAGGGGGCAAGGGAACAGGGGGAGGCCTGAAATGTGTCATGCTTCTTTCTGTAAGGCGGAAAAGATGACACATTTTCGGCCTGAAATGCGTCATGCTTCTTTCTGTAAGGCGGAAACGATGACACTTTTCCGGCCTGAAATGTGTCATGCTTCGTTCTGTAAGGCGGAAAAGATGACACATTTCCGGCCTGAAATGTGTCATGCTTCTTTCTGTAAGGCGGAAAAGATGACACATTTCCGGCCTGAAATGTGTCATGCTTCTTTCTGTAAGGCGGAAACGATGACACATTTCCGGCCTGAAATGTGTCAGGCTTCCTTCTGTAAGGCGCAAAAGATGACACATTTCCGGCCTGAAATGTGTCATGCTTCCTTCTGTGAGGCGGAAAAGATGACACATTTCCGGCCTGAAATGTGTCATGCTTCTTTCTGTAAGGCGGAAACGAAGACACATTTCCGGCCTGAAATGTGTCATGCTTCCTTCTGTAAGGCGGTTTCCGGCCTGAAATGTGTCATGCTTCCTTCTGTAAGGCGGAAACGATGACACATTTCCGGCCTGAAATGTGTCATGCTTCCTTCTGTAAGGCGGAAAGAATGACACACTTCCGGCCTGAAATGTGTCATGCTTCCTTCTGTAAAAATGGAGTTCTTTGTAGAAAACTTTACAAGATCCCTTACATGGAGCTTTCATAGACAACTGCTATATATTCCTTACCCTTTGTAGAAACCACATGGAAGCCCTGTATAGATCCCTCGTATGGAGCCCTTCTGGAAAACCCTCACAGATTGCTTATAGAAATCTTATAGATCCTCTATGTAGAGACCTTATATAAATCCATTATATAAAAAACTGTAGATCACTTACAGAGAGACTTTCTAGAAACCCATTATGGATCCCTCATATGGGGCCTTTATAGTAAGCCCGGTTACAAAGTATGTAGATGCGACGTGGTAAGCTATTCTTGATATAGTAGTTAAGATGAATCGATTGTATTATGGTTCGTACAATACCTATGCAAATTACTTTAAAAATAGAGGGAGCGGTATTAAAACCAATGAAACCGGCAACGAAGATGATGAAGAAGATGAAGATGATGCAGATGATGAAGATGATGAAGATAATGGAGATGATGAAGATGATGAAGATGATGGAGATGATGGAGATGATGGAGATGATGAAGATGATGGAGATGATGGAGATGATGAAGATGATGGAGATGAAGAAGATGATGGGGGTGATGGATATGATGGAGATGGCAGGGGGCAGGGGGCAAATGGCAAAGGGGAGGGAAAGGTGAGGAGGTGGGGAAGGCAGGGATGGTAGGAGAGGGGGCAAGGGAACAGGGGGAGGCCTGAAATGTGTCATGCTTCTTTCTGTAAGGCGGAAAAGATGACACATTTCCGGCCTGAAATGTGTCATGCTTCCTTCTGTAAGGCGGAAAAGATGACACATTTCCGGCCTGAAATGTGTCATGCTGCTTTCTGTAAGGCGGAAACGATGACACATTTCCGGCCTGAAATGTGTCATGCTTCTTTCTGTAAGGCGGAAAAGATGACACATTTCCGGCCTGAAATGTGTCAGGCTTCCTTCTGTAAGGCGCAAAAGATGACACATTTCCGGCCTGAAATGTGTCATGCTTCCTTCTGTGAGGCGGAAAAGATGACACATTTCCGGCCTGAAATGTGTCATGCTTCTTTCTGTAAGGCGGAAACGAAGACACATTTCCGGCCTGAAATGTGTCATGCTTCCTTCTGTAAGGCGGTTTCCGGCCTGAAATGTGTCATGCTTCTTTCTGTAAGGCGGAAACGATGACACATTTCCGGCCTGAAATGTGTCATGCTTCCTTCTGTAAGGCGGAAAGAATGACACACTTCCGGCCTGAAATGTGTCATGCTTCCTTCTGTAAAAATGGAGTTCTTTGTAGAAAACTTTACAAGATCCCTTACATGGAGCTTTCATAGACAACTGCTATATATTCCTTACCCTTTGTAGAAACCACATGGAAGCCCTGTATAGATCCCTCGTATGGAGCCCTTCTGGAAAACCCTCACAGATTGCTTATAGAAATCTTATAGATCCTCTATGTAGAGACCTTATAGAAATCTTATAGATCCTCTATGTAGAGACCTCATATAAATCCACTATATAAAAACTATAGATCCCTCACAGAGAGACTTTCTAGAAACCCATTATGGATCCCTCATATGGGGCCTTTATAGTAAGCCCGGTTACAAAGTATGTAGATGCGATGTGGTAAGCTATTCTTGATATAGTAGTTAAGATAAATCGATTGTATTATGGTTCGTACAATACCTATGAAATTACTTTAAAAATAGAGGGAGCGGTATTAAAACCAATGAAACCGGCAACGAAGATGATGACGATGAAGAAGATGATCAAGATGATGGAGATGATGGAGATGATGGAGATGATGAAGATGATGAAGATGATGCAGATGATGAAGATGATGAAGATGATGAAGATGATGGAGAGGGGGTGGGGTGTCCGCAGCCCTGTTGGACCCTAATGGGTTCGTGGTGGGGGTGGGGTAGTGGGTGGGGTGGGGGAGGGATGTGAATGGGCAGGGGGTTTGTGCTGGCGTGGTGAGGGGTGGGTTTGGGGGAGTGGGTGATAAAGTGATAAACCGATGATAAATGATAATAGGATGGTGATAACGATGATGGGAGGAGTAGGTGGTGGGTAGTGGGTAGTGGTGGCTGGCGGGTGCTGGGTAGTGATGGGTGGTGGGTGGTGGGTGATGGGTGGTGTGGTGGGTGGTGTGTGGTGGGTGGTGTGTGGTGGTTGGGGGAGGGTGTGGGTGGTGGGCGTGGCGGGTGAGGGGTGCCGGGTGGTGGATAATAGGTGGTGGGTGGTGGGTGGTGATGGGGTACGAGGCAAGGGGCTGAGATAGGGGGGGGGGTAGTGAGGTATGAAGGGGGCGGGAGGGTGGAGTGGGGGCAAGGGTGTATAATCCCTGCGAGCCGCGACCGAGCAGAAAGCCTGTAAATGCCGCGTTCAAAAAACGGCCAGGGATCCCACACATCTGCGGGCAAAATCTGGCGGAAGTGATCCGCCGCCGAGCAAAAAGCCTGTAAATACCGCATTAAACAAAGGGCCAGGCATTTCACACATCTGGTGGCAAAATCTGGCGGAAGTGAGCAGTCGGTACTTCTGTCAGATTTTGCCAACAGATGTGCGAAATCCCTGACCCTTTGTTTAATGCGGTATTTACAGGCTTTTTGCTCGGTGGCGGATCACTTCCGCCAGATTTTGCCCGCAGATGTGTGGGATCCCTAGCCCTTGAAGTGGTGGGTGAGACACGGCGGTGTGGAGTTCTCTCAATCGCTGCTGCGCGCAGCGAACGCCAGCCTATGCCAGCCTGCTGTCCCTTCCCATTTCCAACACCGATCTTGACGGCGAGGCTGTTCTGTCGAATGACATCTTCGCTAACTCTTTGGTAGGGTGGAGGTGGATTCGGGGGTTGAGGGGCGGTGGGTTTAGGGAGGGGGGGGGGGCTGGATTAGGAGATAGGTGGTGCAGGGGGCAGCGTGGGGACAGGGGGGGGAGGGGGCAGGGGGCAAGGGGCCAAGGAAGGGGGGGGAGGATAAGGAGGAGGAGGTCGGGAGGGGAGATCGGGGGGGGTGGGGGGGGGGGTCGGGCCCACACCGTGACGGGGGCAGGGGTGGGGTGGGTTGGTGATAGTAGGGGGGTGACCCGTGGGCCCCATCCACAGAACCCCAGGATTTCAATTATTTAAATAATTGAAATAATTGAAATAATTGAAATGGGTGGGATTTCAATTATTTCAATTATTTGGGGCCTTTGGCGGATTTAAATAATTGAAATAATTGAAATCCCCCCATTTCAATTATTTCAAATATTTCAATTATTTCAATTATTTAAATAATTCAAATCGGTGGGATTCGTGGCTTGGCACAGAACAGCCATCGATTTCAATTATTTCAATTATTTCAATTATTTGGGCCCTTTGGCGGATTGAAATAATTGAAATCCGAAGGTTCAGTGGGCCCAAGCCACCAAATCCAGGGATTTCAATAATTGAAATAGTTGAAATAATTGAAATAATTGAAATGAGGGGGATTTCAATTATTTCAATTATTTCAATTATTTGGGGCCTTTGGCGGATTTAAATAATTGAAATAATTGAAATCCCCCCATTTCAATTATTTCAATTATTTCAATTATTTCAATAATTCAAATCGGTGGGATTCGTGGCTTGGCACAGAACAGCCATCGATTTCAATTATTTCAATTATTTGGGCCCTTTGGCGGATTTAAATAATTGAAATAATTGAAATCCGAAGGTTCAGTGGGCCCAAGCCACCAAATCCAGGGATTTCAATAATTGAAATAATTGAAATGGGGGGATTTCAATTATTTCAATTATTTCAATTATTTGGGGCCTTTGGCGGATTTAAATAATTGAAATAATTGAAATCCCCCCATTTCAATTATTTCAATTATTTCAATTATTGAAATCCCTGGATTTGGTGGCTTGGGCCCACTGAACAGCCTTCGGATTTCAATTATTTCAATTATTTCAATTATTTGGGCCCTTTTGCGGATTTAAATAATTGAAATAAGTGAAATCAACTCTGCTGATTTCAATTATTTCAATTATTTCAATTATTTCAATTATTTTAAATAATATTAGTCATGCAGAAAAGAATAGAGCGTAAAATAGACCCTAGAGGCGCCTCTCTCTCTCTCTCATATATATATATATATATATATATATGGCGTATACATACACATATTCGTATACATTCATTCGCATGTACAAAAACAAACATATACATAAACATATGTACATAATACATACATACATACATACATACATACCTACCGAACTACCTACCTAGCTAGCTCGCTACCTACATACATGCATACACACACAAACACATACGTACATGACATACATGCATGCATGCATACATACATACATACAACATGCGACCCCCATCCCCTTCGTGCCACCTTCCGAAGATGCTGTGCCGATGCTTCGGCTGCCGCAGGGCTGGTGAGCCTGTCCAGGATGCGAAGATCCTTGTGACTAGTTTGCGGTTGTAGGGCTTTGGGATTCGGGTTTACCCCGCAAGCTGAGTTTCGCGATGCACTTAGCACGATGTCGGTTTCCCAATCGGACTAGAACTGCCACGCCTGCAAGTCTGGGTACTGGTAGAAGCCGAGGTTAGCACTCGTCAATTCGAGGTTGGAGTCAGAGCTTAAGTGCTTGAGATCCTTGCTGCTGGTTTCAGGCCTGAGCGAGGTACAGGCTAACCACTACACTGACACCTCTCTTACTTCGGAATCAAATCAACCCCCGGAAGTCACGCCACCTGTCTCGTCCGCCATTGATGAGAAGCACGGCAGCCTCCTGTCCTGAAAGCAAGTTCGAATTATCCGAATCCCGACCCCCCCGACCCCCCCGACCCAAATCGAACCCCGAACTTCAACCAAAACCAAGCGCACTGAACCCTCGAACCCCAAACCTTAAGCTTAAACCCGCGCTGAAATCAAATAAGTCTTCAGCCTAGGACGTGCTACCCCAAAAACCGGAAGCACTCACACCTCGGTCAAGTCCCCTTTGCGCCATTACCAAAAAAACATTACTATTGCTGTGAATGTCCTGCATTGCTAATGCGATGGTGGTGCTGTCATGGTGACGAAGATACTGATAGCACTCGTACTTATTATATACTTCTATGATGCGTTCTATGCACCCCAACCCCTAAACCCCTAAACCCCTCCACTACACCCTAAACAGCTAAACCCCGCAACTCGTAGAAAACACGTTAAGACGCTCGCTACAGGAAGATGCGACGACGCTCCTTCCGACCGCGGGGTGTCATGCCGACGTTCGGGCAGCAGCTCCCCCGCGACCTTGGTCCCCGTCGGGGTGTAAGAATTGCTTTGGGGAAAACCCAGAATCCTGCCGCAACCGCCATCCCAAATCCTCATGGTAAACCGACATTAGATTTCTCTGGCGTTTACGATGCTTGGGCTTGGGGTTTGGTGTCCGGTCCTAAGTACTCGCCAAGGTTGCAACCGCCACCGCACCGGCGAGCGAAGACCCGCCCGCAGATGGCGGCGGGAGCCTGGCATCAGCAGCTTCAAGGGGCCCAAGAAAACACCCAAACAACACGGTTTAGGGTTTAGGGTTTGGGGTTTAGGGTTTAGGGTTTGGGGTTTAGGGTTTAGGGTTTGGGGTTTAGGGTTAGGGTTTCGGGGATCAGGGCGCCTGTAGATATGGATCCCAGAGAACCTTCTTCGTGAGATCCTTAGGTTTCTTCGACCTACGGGGCAAGGAGCTCCCGATCAAACACTGGGAGGATAACTTGGACGTGTATATGGGAGTTTCCGAAAATAGGGGGTACCTTATTTTGGGGTCCCTATAATAAGGATCCTGCTATTTAGGGTACTATATTAGGGTCCCCTATTTTCGGAAACTCCCATATAGGGATCCGGATAATTACTCATAAAATCATAGAGCATGGAACTAGTAGGAATCATGATAAAATAGGCCACGGAAAAACAGGCATAGACTATCATCGCCATGAACAGAGTTCATCGGCAACGAGGAAATAACTTCCTCAACTGTGCCGAAAGGCCTTTCCTTCCCACAGCTTGCGCACTATCTCGTATGAACAGTCCGAGCATCGCCCGCAACAGGTACCATTCTACCCGTCACTTGACACACGGCATCGTGCACTGCCCAAGGAACACGACAAATTTGAAACAAATGAACGGTGGAAGATCATAAGGGGGATGCTTACAACATTCGAGTGTCAAATAACGCTTTGATTCCTGATCCTCGGGCTGCAATAGCGATGGTCTCAGAACTCATCGCCGTAACCTTCCTCCTCTCCCTCGCCCTCAGCTGTTTCGATGCCAACCTCTTCGTAGTCCTTCCGGTGCCAAGCTTGCTCAACCCGAAACGCTCGAAGGTCGTTACTCTTGGCTTTAAGGCTAACTTATGACTTATGAGTAGTAGGTCAAAAACCCCAAAAATGTTGCTTCGGGGTTTCGCCTTCTCCAATGCCGCCAAATCTTCTCGAGCCTCAGAAAATTCGCCCTCCTCCATGCCTTCTCCGACGTAGTGGTGGACGAAGGCGCGCTTGGAGTACATGAGGTCAAACTTGTGATCGATGCGCGAAAAGACTTCGGCGATGGCCGTGCTGTTCGAGATCCTCAGCAGACACAAGGTGTAAGTCACAATATAGCATACCCTTTCGCACCATGAGGGATGACTTGCCTGGACAAAAGCCTTTTGCATCTGAAGCTGCAGCCATTCCGAACCAAGTTCTGCCTAGGTACATGCAGCAGGCACGCATGACCTTGGCCAAATCACCACCGGGCACCACGGTCGGCGGCTGGTAGTTGATGCCGCACTTGAAGCCGGTGGGGCACCAGTCCACGAACTGGATCGTGCGCTTAGTCTTGATGGTTGCCACTGCCGCGTTCACGTCCTTCGGCACGACGTCGCCACCTGAGACAATCAAGCCAACAACAGGTGCACAGCCCCCACATGACCACACACTGACACAGCCTCGCTTGTATTGTGTAGTGCATACACTGCTGAATACAGCATGGTCACTGTGGCAATCTATGTTGCTTTGTACTGCAGGCTTTTTGCTATAATCTTTTGCAGTGCACTGCTGCAAAAGGCAAAACGGCGCAAAACAGGCATTCACCTCAGCTTCATTCATGAAGGCTGACTGGCAGGGTCCTGAGGGCTGCACGGTACATCATGCAGCAGGCCATGTATTTGCCGTGGCCTTGGTCGCGGATCGTTACTTGCCTGACCCTGTTTCGTACCAAAAACCATCCCAAAGCCCCAACTTCCAAACTGCGGCAGCTGTAATGATACAGCAAGGTCCTGCCAAGTGGCGTGGGTCGCACTTAACCATCATGGATGCCGGCTCGAAAACGGACATGGTGATCTCCGCCACGGACAGCTGCTCGTGGTATGCCTTCTCGGCCGAGATGACCGGGGCATAGGACGTCAACATGAAGTGGATGCGGGGGTAGGGGACCAGGTTGGTCTGGAACTCCGTGATATCCACGTTCAAGGCGCCATCGAAGCGCAGCGATGCGGTCAAGCTTGAAATGATCTGAGCGATGAGGCGGTTCAGGTTGGTGTACGTGGGTCGCTCGATGTCCAGGTTCCTGGAGCAGCATGTGTGCGTGTGGGCGTGAACCACCTGCTGACTAAACGATTGAAGTGGCGAAACACGGAAGGCAACCTACCGAACACGAGGCAAGCTTCCTGCGGCAAATATCATACAATGCCTCGTTGTCGTACCTCGGCTGGGTCTTGCATCATCGTAGCTTGGGCTTAAAGTCTTACAACAAAAGCTGAACATGAACAAATGCCGTTGCCAGATCAGTCGAGGCGCATGATGGTCACATCGGTGTGCTCCAGGAGGGAATGCACGCACAAGACTGTGTTGTAGGGCTCGACCACGGCAGTAGCCACTTGAGGGCAACACCACACGGTGAAGGAGATCTTGCTCTTCTTGCCGTAATCCACGGACAGCCTAGCAAGCCGACAACATCTTCGACAGCTCTTCGCTTAGGGCTTAGGCCCTAAAACTTGAAAATTTGAAGCAAGCCCGTTTGGCGCAACCCAGACAGCCTCTCGAGCATGAGGCAACCAAGACCTGATCCGGTTCCGCCGCCGCATGCGTTGTAGACGCAGAAGCCTTGGAGTCCTGTGCCTCGGCGACAGAATGGTCGAAAAAATTTCGGACTAGACTGAGGGAACACAGAGTAATGAAATCACAAAAACGACGATCTTCCAAGCAGGCTGCAGTTGTCAGCAAGCTTCCTGATGCGGTCCAAGACCAAATCCACAATCTCTTTGCCAATGGTGTAATGCCCACGGGCGAAATTATTTGCTGCATCCTTTGCCCATGCATCACATCAAGGCGACATGACTGCAAAACATGCCCAAAGGTTCTGGTTTCTGCGACGAAATTTGACTACAAAATGCTTACCGGAAAGCTGGGCAACTTCCTTTCCAGAAATGAGCTGCTCCGGGTGGAACAGCTGACGGTACGTGCCTGTACGGACCTCATCCACGACCGTAGGCTCCAAATCCACCTGCGATTCCAATAAAGACATCGTTGATGCGCTTGGTGGTCGCAAGGGCGCAAAGCACAATTCTTGCCAATGTTATGCCCAAGTAGCCATCACGCATCGTGGCACGTGCTTGCCGGCCCCGGTCTCACTGAAGAAGGTATTGAAGGCGTCCTTATACACAATGCCACGGGGGGATGTCTGGAGTGATACGAAATCTGTTGACTGCGCTCGGTCGACTCAGAATTCATCCGTCGTGCTTCCCTCCTAACCTGACAATCCACCTGGACGAGAAAGACTGACCATGGAAAACGAAACCAATAAACTGAAAACAAAGGGAAGCGAAATCTTCAGGTCATCGTCAGGTCATCATGAAAACAGCTTACATGACAATAACAATGCCTGGGAGTGTCTGCACTGTTTGGAAAAAACGCCAAAAACACATGCTACGGTTCGCACCGAATGGTACTTGTAACTGGCAGGCGCAAGATGGAAAGAGCAGGACGCACATTGCATGGGTAGAAACACTAAGCAAAGCGGGGCAACTTAGGGTTCAACCGATAATCTGTCGATGCGCTTCCTGACCACAAGTGAAACGTGCCAGGGCAGACGCAGCAACAGAAGCTTGACGGCACTCTGCAATGCGAGCAAGCACATCTTTTGCACTCATTTTGCGTGCATTACTCTTAGAACTATTATGGCCCTTAGCAGACATGCGAGCACCTAACAACTCCCAGTTGTCAATGCAAGGTTCACACCCACATGATCTGTCGAGCACATGACCGCACATGCCAACCAAACGTTTTGTCAGCAGAAAGTTCAGTGACGATCTTCTGTCGAACATTAACAGTAAAGGCACAACTAGCATCGACTGCAGCCTGCAGCAGCAGCATGGTTGGGGATGAGGCCTCGACCTCGCGATCATCGACAAATGCACTGGGACTGGCGCCAACCGCCACAATGCAATCACACCACCTGGAGACGAGCAAATTGGCCGCAAGTAAACTTAGAGAGCGCCCTTGACGTAAACCCGGTCTCGGCAAAACATTCATTTCATCAACAACATTGCCTAAGCTTAAGGTTTTGACCTGGTTGTCGCCAGGCCTGCCACAAAGCAACACTGTCGTAAGGAACGCCTGCTTCCAGCAGCAATTGCGCTCTTCGATACACATGCAGTGTCGAAAAACTTCCAACTGTCCTCGGTACAACCATGACAGCCCATGTCCGCTGCATCTTCCGGGCAAGCAGCTTTCGTGATTTCGATGTTAAGTTGCATGGAGAGGTACATCGCTTGCGGGGATCAGCCAAGCACACCACCGTGCTGGTTGGGATGCACAATCTCAGCCATCCATGGGCGGATTCGCCGCACGGTCCAAACGCAGCATCTGTATGCCAGTGGGCTAACGCTGATTGGCCTGAGTTTATCAACAGCAGGCACGCTGACGCTCTTGTTTTGGGGAAAAGCCGTGTGAACATGGCACAACACCGAAGGCCATTTGGAATGCCGGACACAGCTGTTCAGAAGTATGCAAGATACCCAGCACTGCGAGAATCCATGCGCCTGTAATGCTCTGGTTCCCAGCCACCCGGGCCAGCAGCACTCTTGGCATGAAGCTGACGGACAAGCTGCAACACATCTTCGGCGTCAACCGCACTGTCAACACGCGACCAGGCAGGGTCGTAAGCAAAAGGGGCAGACTCTTCATGCGCATTTTCTTCGGTCAACATGTAGATGGGGACCCAGAATGTGCGCAGCGCAGCAAACACAGCTTTGGAGCCATGCTGCAAAACGCCATCTTCATACGCGGCCTGCATGCACTCAGCATGTTTCCCGGCAGCCATCTCCGAACACGAGACCGGTCGCGGCACCAGTCTTCCTTCACCAGCTCTTCACGCGCTCACGCTTGGATAGCACTTCAAAACTACCAGCGGATCAACATACTTTCCAAGGCACGGAGATCGCGACAACGGGCGCGGGTCAGGCGCTGGGACTTCATCGGAAGTGAGGATGCGGAAA